GGACCAGGGTACTTTTCCAAATTTCTGTGTAATAGAGTGATTCTTAAACCCTTACTATCTACAAGATTTTAAATAATACATGTTGTGAATATATATAGATATATAGATATATATTTATTTCTTGAAGACTTAACTTCTTCTGTGCCTTGGAACATAACAGATCTATCAGTCTGCTGATGCTCTTGAATTTGTACCATATAGAGAACCATTTTGTCAACACATGGGATAATATGCAGAGACACATATACATATATGCATGCACACCTTGATGCAAGTAGTAAAGTGGCACAAAAGTGGTTAAGTTAAAATTAAACACACAATTCATTAAGTTTGGAGTGAAGACACAAAAACTGGTCTAAGATTGTCCTCAGAAGTAATACTTAAGTGATTAGATGTTAATATATTGGGTCTTACTAAATTGATTTTGTTGGATATTTCACTTGATATTTTTAAAACCAAAGTTTGTTTCTTTTCCTGTTACAGTTAACTTATGACGGACTGCAGAGCCATATATATAGTAGAAGAGCAAGTGTGTATTTATATACACACAAGCTCCCATACCATACTGTAAGCGGAAGAGGCAAGAGCTGCAGGGAGCCTTAATTATTTTTCAATCTGGTTATAGATGAATTTAAGGTCCTAGTTTGAATTTGTGGTGCAACAAACTACATTTACACCAACTGATTACTTTTTAGTTGTAAATCTATTGTATAAATGATTATTTTAAAATGTCTGAAATAATCTGATGTATTTGTCTGTGTATAATTTGTTCCAGAAATCAAGGACAAAATAAATGTGTTTTTATCGGTGTGAAAATCAAAGCTTGTAAATAGGTTTAATATGTAGAACTTTTTCCAGTTCTTAGAAACAATGTATTTTTGTACATAAACATTTCTCTAAATTTCACTGTAATTATCTTAGCTGCTGCTCATATCAATTATTGGCTTACACAGTTACTTTATTAGTGCATATATGTAGCCTCTTAGTAATCAGCCTCTATCACATTAAAAAACAATGATAATTCCAGATATAGGGGGCAAAATGAAATTAAAATCCAAATTCCTTTATTAAGTTGTATAGTGTGTGCATGTGTTCCAAAATTGTGTATCTATTCTTGATTACTTTGCCTACCTTCAGAGTAATTGAATTTTATTTTTAGAGGAAATGAGACATCACATTTCTGCTAATTTGTCAATAGCTGTTTTGTATGTTCAGTTTTTTTCCTTTGTAGAAACTTCCCTGATGAAATTTCCATTGAAAGGTTGATTGTCTCTTTGCCATTTGCTTTATTTTTTAAAAAATGCAAACATCTTTTTGACAATAATTTCTTTTAATCTTGGTTTACTTCCTTATAAGAATTAATGAGATTACACAATGAACATATGTATACACATGAGTTTCTTGTTTATATAATTTTTTAAACTAGAGATTGTCTTTCAAACAACTTTGAGTATAAAGGTATATTTTGGACATGATGAGTAACCTGATTTATTGTGAAAAAATCCAGAGGCAAGGTTTTATTAGCAATTAATGTAGAAAGCTTACTTTTGTTGTAGCTTCAGAGCAGCATAAAGTTTTCATGTTCATATTGAAATGACTTCACTAAAATACACCAGAAGTGTATTTTAATCACTACTGAGGTGATAACATATGTATAGAAGGAAAAGATTGCTTTTTAACTTGTAAATAATTGATTCAATTTGCAATATATGCATCTGGAAAAAAAAGACAAATTATCATATTTGTAGATAACTTTCAAGCCTGTAAATACGTGCAAATGGGTTAAAGGAGTAAAATTTTGATGATTTTCACAGATTTGTGATTGGAAAAATTAACTCCTATGGAAATTGTTGGAATTTGTAGCATTTCCTACTTGCAACTCTGTTCAATATTACACTATAGGTGTAATGTCAATGTAGAAAAGCAAATAGGAAAAAATATCCACAAACATTATTATCCAGTTTTATTCTGTTCTAAAGCAGTGCCATGAAAAATAGGGAATAAACTGTTAAAAATGGAAAACAAACTACTGGATAAAGTGAATAAAAATCTTGAATATTTTAAGCAAGTTGTTCTGATTCTCAACGTTTGTGTATATGTTTCTTTGTTTCACATGAAAAACTAAAGCCAACCATGAATTGAGCTTGACTCTTGGTTGACTTTTTGGACAGAACTATACAGTTTTCTTGGCAACTGAAGTGTTGATTTGACTTTCCCATCTAGCCTTCAGCCCTGGTATGAATAAGTCGTCTCCCATCCAATTATATATCCGGGATGAGTCATATTATGTCATGCCATTTCACTACTCGTTCTTAACATACACAATTAACAAAACAATCTTTAATCTTAAAAACATTAATAGAAACTAAAAAAAGAGAAAAAGGAAAAAAAACTAGGAAAATATCCAACCCCAAATAAACTAAAAAAGAAGGGGAAAAGTGGGTAGATGAAACTCACTTTATATATTATATTTAATAATAGTTAGTGGTTTACAGATAAATACAATAATCTGACAGTACAAAATACTACAAAATACCACAAAGTCTCAGCCATTGTGACATAAATTGCTGCATTTTACTAGACATCTGGAATATCACATTTCCAACTTCTTAATATTAGAACAACCATAGTTCCTGTTAAAACAGTCAGAATCCAAATTTTGGTATATATTCAACATTACTTTGTACTAATTCTTCTTAACTTTCCATAACAGACAAGGGTGGCCAGGTTTACCATTTGCTGTATCTTGTTTCAGATGACTGGATATTAAAAGACTTTACCATTCTAAGTTGATCTAAGCTTTTCTATTGATTTAATGTGATATCTCGCAGTTAATTTCTTTTCCAGATGGAGTTTGACAGAAAACAACATGTTGCCATAAGATTAATGAACATAAATAGTGCATGAATCCTGTATTAAATAATTTCTGATTCTTATTTCTTATTTTTATAAGTTATAAAGCAGTCTATGGAGATTCTCAGTCATCCAGGTCATGGTTATCCCAAAGGTGCTTTTCTAAAAGGCAGCTGGGAAGCAGTTTTATATATAAAGCAGTCATTTGAGTTGCATCAATTAGCATGTAGGTACTTCTGGTCACTGGATGTTTAAATGAATCTTAACTTTTATATAGAACTATATTTATGCTTTAGAGATTTGGCAAGCAAATACTAAATTTGGAATTCCCAAATGCAGCATCAGTAAGTGGCATTACACACAATGGAGACATGCTATGCTGCTTCATTTTTCCTTTTTGCAGTGAATGGCATTGAGAATCATGAAATTCAGGAAAATTGAATTATTTCCTTCCTTTATTTAGATACATTCCCCAGAGATATGGACAAATGCACCTAAAAATTCATGTTTGTTGTAACATAGGAAAAGAAGGTATAGTGGTTTCAGAGCAGCAAGGGGGATGGTACAGAATTTGTATCCGCTCCTAAAAAAAAATTTGTGCTTTTTTTCTACACTTCCTCCCATATAGAAACATTGTGGCCTTGAAGATTGTTGCATTTTTACATTCTCTGCATCTGAGAGTGAGTGACTGGTCCAGTCACCCAGCTGTTTTTCAAGGCTAAGGTGGGACTAAAACTCAATCTCCAGCTTTCTAGCCTAGTGCCTTAACCACTAGACCAATCTGGCTCTAGGATAGTCTGTTATTGTTTTCTTCTTCCTTTGGAGATTTTATTCCTTTGATGTTTTGCTGTTTTATGTGACTTTCGTAATAGTTCCTTTGTTGTTATGACAAAGGTATTGTTGATATACTGAATCCATACTTTTGGTTGTATGTGTGGTAAGACTATATTTGTACATACTGGACCTGCACAACTTTTATAAGCTTTCTTTTTATGGTAATGATCAACATATTTATCTAAGGTAGACATGTCAAACTTGCAACGTCCCGTGACTTCGCGCAATGTATCGGGCCAGTTTTGCTATTGCCAGCAATGGGGTGGGTGAGGCTTCTGGATGACGCATCTGGCCTGCAGGCCAGCAGTTTGACACCTCTGATCTAAGGCATCACACTGACTGCCATCGTTTCCCTATTTATTGTCCCAGAGTAATAGTGACATACCATCTGAGTGTTCAGATAATTTGAAGGTTTACCAACTAAGGCTGTCCCAAATGTCAGAATACAAATACAGGTAATCATCGACTTACAACAGTTCACTTAGTGACTAAAGTTACAACGGCACTGAAAAAAGTGACTTATGACTGTTTTTCACACTTAAGACCGTTATAGCAGCCCCACAGTCGCATGGTCAAAATTCAAATGATTGGTAACTGACTCAGATTTATGACAGTTGCGGTGTCCCGGGGTCATGTGATGATCTTCTGCAGCCTTGACAATCAAGGTCAGCGGGGAAGCCAGATTCACTTAATAATTGTGTTACTAACTTGACAGCTTCAGTGTTTAGCTTAACAACTACGGCAAGAAAGGTCGTAAAATGGGGCAAAATTCACTTAACTGACTCGCTTAGCAACAGAAATTTGGACTCAATTGTGGCGGTAAGTCGAGGACTACCTGTATATTGACACAGCTGGCTTCTGCCCTAACCACATGTTTTCTTTAGGATTCCTTTTCTATGTATTGAAATTATGCCAAAATGCGTGTGGAGGATGTGAGGTGTGGAATTCTGGGCAACTGTTGAATTTGCCATATTTAAAACCACAATCCAAATCACATTCTGTAATTTTATGGCCACGTACGAATCGGAAGAATCCGATCCTGTCCAATCGAGGGCTTGCTCCTAAGAAACAATGCACGCGACTGGCAGTTTAAACGTCTTGTAAATCTTTTTCTGGCCAATATATGCAGAGCAATTACTGAATCTGAACTACAACATCATCACACACAACCTCATCTTCGTCCGGTCAACGGGCACCCGGACTCTCCCGCTTCAGAGCTCGAGTCTCCGCAGATTTACAGCTCAAGCCGTCTCGTCCGCACAAGGTTAAAACAAAGAAGCCTCCAGTTGCTATGGAAACCTTTTTTTGACCCGGAAAAGAAACGAGGAAAGTCTTCCGGTTGCCTCGCCGCTTTCACGTGCGAAGCGTTTTGCTGCTGAGAGTGGGACGAGCGCAGCGTCAGGGATGAAGTTCGCCTACCGGGTGAGAAAACGGGGCCCTTTTGCCCATTTGGATAATTTGGGAATTTGCAAGTTTTCTTGTGTGGGTGGGCTCCGGTTATCCAGCTTCCAGGTTTCACAAGTGGAGCAGGTTGGATACCACTATCTTTGAAAAACGTAACTTGAGATGAGTCTCAGTTCCTTCCAGTTTCCTCTCTTTCTATTCTTAACCAGGAGTAGACAATGTATTTTGCACTCCACGGGTTCACTTTGTCCCTGATAAATATCAGCTCTACATTTTGACAACTGTGCAGCTGGATTGCTTGCAAAGTCTCTCTTTAGAAGCCCAAAACATCTGAGAGATTCTCTACAGTTTGTTAAATTATGTTATCTAAAGCCATTTACTAATTACGTTTGAAATCAGTGCTGCATCTAAACTGGGTAATAGAAAAGAGTGACATTTCTTTTGTAATCAGGGGAATTTATAATTGTACTTATACTTGCTGCAAATGAAATTGAAACATTCTTTCTATTTTTTCCTTTCTTTTGTACTTTTTTCTTTTTTAACTTTTATTGATTTGTGTTAATTTTTATGTTTTTGTAAAACTTTAAATTAAGATTCATTAAATATATTGATGTTATATCTTAAGATCAAGTGAAATATTTGGGACACATAGAAATGGCACTTGATGGATAAGCAGCTGGAACAAAAATTATGGAACTTTGTTTTATATATAACTGAAGCAAAACTATTATATGTGCAAGATGGAAAGATTTGACTTTCCACCAGTAATGGAGGAATGGATAATGGGTAGTGAAAGTGATGGAACTTGCTGAGATGGCTAAAATGACAGCTTTAATTAGGACATTGTCTAAATTTAATGAGTACAAAATCCCCAATTGCGCAAAACAGAAAAAAATGAAGTCATATGGTTTTTAAGATTAAATAAAAATAATGTAAACAATATTGTAACCATAAAGTAACAGGTTATTTTATCTTTATACTTACAATTGTTGTAAAACAAAATTGAAAGCCACTTCTTTATAATTCTTTTTCCTTTTTGTTGATTTCTGCATCTGTATATCCTCTTTTCTTTCATTTTTTCTTTATCATTCTAAATATTCTTGTTAGTTTTTAACTATGCGTACTTCTCTACATTTTGGCAATGAGTTAGTTACAAATTATGTACAATTTCTAATTCCTATTCAAATTTGCATTGTCTGAAATTGCCTTCAAGAGTTACAGTACTGTACCACTTTTTGTGCTTTATTTCATTTTCTGCTTAAGTTGCATTAATGCAGGTACAATTTTATTTTCTAGTTTTCCAACTTGTTGGGTACAGTCTACCGATGTGGAAACTTGAAGTTCACTCCAGATGGAAACTCTCTGATTAGTCCAGTGGGAAACAGAATTACGGTCTTTGACCTGAAAAAGTATTCATTTATTTGATTTATATGCTGTTTGTTCAGCTCAAAGCATGATTATGATTGTTTGTCTTCCAACTTTTCCGAACAAAAACAGAGCTGTGAGCTTGCTTGAACTGAGAATGTGGAACATTAGCTCAATAGCTTCCATAGTAGAGGGTGGATTTGAACCTGAGTCTTCCAAGTGCCAGCCCAACATTTGAACTATTATATCTGGCTCTTGTACTGTGACTTCTAAGTGTATGACTAGTCAATAGCCTGTTTAAAAATGCTTTTGCAATCTGTCTCTGAAGCTATTGTTTTGTGGAAGAAATTTATGAAATAAATTTGATAAGTTAGTGTTGTAGAGGATTTAGTTTTCTACTCTGTTTCAAATATATTGAATAATGTTGCTTCCTTATCTAATTTATGAATTTGGCAGAAATATATAAAATTACTGTATTAACTGCCATTCTGTTGTTGTTTTTGATATATTATTCATCTGTTCTTTCAGTAACAAATCGGAAACTTTACCACTGGCTGCCCAATACAATGTAGCATGTATGGGACTGTCTCCAGATGGAAATCTTGCTATACTTATTGATGAAGGTAATTGTTTAAGATGTTAAGAAAAAAATTGATCAGTAAATCCGTTTACTAATGTTAGTATTATAATATTTTCATTAAAAATAATGTTTTAACCTTTTGTTTAAATATTCAGTTGAACTGCAGATAAAATTCTTTGCGTGACTTATTTTTTTCTAATTGAAATTAGTAGAAATAACAATGTAAACAATATTTTTATTATTTTAATATTTGTAAAAATATTTGAAATATTTTTTCTGTTCCTTACAGAGGGATCTGCTTTACTTGTCAGTTTGATCGGTAAATCTGTTATTCATCGATTCCATTTTCAGAAACCTGTTCATAGTGTCTGCTTTTCTCCAAATGGAAAGTATGAAGAACTATATTTGAGTATTTGATTTTACTATTTTGCTTCTTATAGAAATATTAATAGCAATTAACAATAAAGTAAAATAAGCTTCATGAAAGTACTACTAAGGCAAATAGGTTTGTTTAAAGAAAAATAGATATAATTGAAGATAAAATGATTTAATGGATCATTCTCAAGTCAATCTATATGTTATTTTTGGGTGTATGTACTAGTAGTTCTTGTAAATTATCAGGAATTTTATCTGCATTAGAAGCATAAATAATTTTAATATTATTTATTTTAATTACAAAAATATTAACTAAATTGGCTGTAATGTGTAATATGACCTTTATTTCTTTATTTCTATAATTTATTTTCAATTTTCATTTTTGTAAAACAGAAAATTTGTGATTACTAAAGACAAAGTTGCTCTGATGTACCATGCCCCAGGGAAAAAGAGAGAATTTAATGCATTTGTTCTTGACAAAACGTATTATGGTGCTTATGATGAAACAACATGCATTGACTGGACTGATGATTCCAGGTAGGATTTTGTCTGGTTTATTGAGACAGCCAAATACCTACTTTCAATGTCAATGACTCTTAGTTTCAGTTCATGATTTGTAAACTAAAAATACACAGTTAATGTCCATCATTCCATTAATTTAAAGAAAGAAGCTGAAGCATTTTAGGAATATTTTCTTATCTATACATACAGGTAGTTCTTGACTTACAACCATTTATTTAACAATACTTCAAAGTTATGACGGCCTTGGAAAAAGTGTTTTACAACTTGTCCTTAAAGTTACAACTGTTGCACCACTCTAGAAGTCATGTGATTGCAATTTGGGCACGTAGCAATTGGCACATGTTTATGTCCATTTGCAGCATTCTGTGTTCATGTAATCACAATTTGCAACCTTCCCAGCTGGTTTCTGACAAGCAACATCATCTGGGAAGCTGGATTTGCTTAATGACCATGTGATTCACTTAATGACTGCAATAAAAATGGTTATAACTTCGGGATTGTTCACATAACGACTGACTTGAGGACCAAAATCCCTGTTCCTATTGTAAGCTGTAAGTTGAGGATTATCTGTACATGATAAATTTGTTCATTCCTTCATCTGTTTTCCAAATTAAAGTTCTTGCAGTATTCCAAACATAAAAATATTTACACTTTTTCCAGTAATTCATATATATATATATATATGTTTTCTGAGGTTTTCGCGGGTATTTGTATGTAGGTCTTTGGTTGTTCGGGTTTTCTCCCACGTAAAATTGGAAGTGTCTTGGCGACGTTTCGACGAAGTCCCATTCGTCATCTTCAGGCTGGTGCTTTCAGCTTCGTGCTTTATGGCTTGTGAATTTCAACTCCCAGAATTCCTAATTCAGCCACGCTGACTCAGGAAGTCTGGGAGTTGAAGTCCACAAGTCATAAACGAACCAAGGTTGCCTATCCCTGGGCTAGACCCTCCTAGGTCCAGATGCAAGATCTCCCACAGAAGATCATAGAGACAAGAAAGCTAAGACTTTGGGACTTCCAGACCCACACAGAAAAGAAGGTACTAATCAACTCAAATATGATAAGTAGACAAGGACCAAAAGGCAGCAGTGATGATAGATGTAGCGATGCTAAATAACAGCAACATCAGGAAGAAGGAGTATGAGAAACTGGAGAAATACCAGGGTCTGAAGGAAGAACTTTGCTTTAGTTGCTAAGCACATTTTACTTATGCTCTTCTCTGCTTTACAGACCTGCAAAAATGTGAAGGTGGTCAAATTTTTCATAACCCTTGTAATTGAACAGTTATTAAATGAGGTTAACTTATGTGAACTCATCAGTATTTTTCCCAGGGCATAAAGCTATTAGGAGATAGCTATCTGGCATGAGTAATTTGTCTTATCCACAGCCATGAAATTATCACAGACGTTAGAGAATAATGATGAAGTAACTTTTTTTCTTTCAGATGTTTTGCAGTGGGTAGCAAAGATATGTCAACATGGGTGTTTGGAGCTGAACGCTGGGTCAATCTGGTTTATTATGCACTCGGAGGTCATAAAGATGCAATTATTGCCTGTTTTTTTGAAGAAAACAGCTTGGATGTATGTACCTTTCACATTTTTCTACATTATGTTAATAATGTAGTTGGTTAGTATTTATTTGATTTGGTCCCTGTGCGGTCTATATTTTTTAGCTGTGTTTGTCTATGTGTGTGCAGTTATAATTTTAATGCATTAGTGAGTTGGGCAATACTTTAAATACGAGGGAAGTTGATATACTGTTCTGAAAAGCCACAAACAATTAGCACTATAGATTTTGGACTTAAACAACTAATGATTGCACATATCCAATTGTCTATTAGGGCTGTGCCGCATTTCAGATTCAAAAACAAAAGGATGCTTTTAAGTATATAGATGAGCACATCCTGCATTTAATGTTTTCCCCCTGGATCACATTGATTTTGCAAAGAGCAGCCCGGGAAGAAGTTGCAATTGCTGAAGGAATTGCAGGCAGGTGATAGATGAGCGCACCTCAATTGCTCCAACCACTTTTTGCCTTTGAATATGAAGTGCTGCAGGGCCCGATTCTCTGTTACGAAGTTGTACGCACTGGTCCAATATAAATTACATAAGAAGAAATAAAATCCAGATGTCATGCCGCCGAATATTTCAAGAAGTTTCTCTCTCATACACCACATGCTCACACTAAAATAGAGTATACATTAGCATTTTGTGAATTTGGAATTCCTGCACAGATCCTTTATTCAATGGACCTTTTTGCCAACTGATAATTATATTTTGTTATTGTAGTTGTACACCGTCAGCCGTGATGGGGCTTTGTGTGTGTGGCAGTGTGATACAGAACTAAGCGGTCTGATACCTAGAACTCCCAAAAGCCATCCCACTGACCAGGAAGAGTCAGCAAAAGACTTAGAGGAAGACTTGATAGAAACACAAAGAGACAAAGAGATTCATGGAAAAGCCGGTGGAAATGAAAAACAAAACAAGAAAGTGAAATATTCATGTGCTGCCAAGTAAGTGAGTTTCTAACAAAAGAAACTTATAAGAGGAATTTATTGAATTTCTAACTGGTTTATTACATGGTTAACTTCGACATTGGAATGCTTTTAACATGAATGCAATCATGGTGGAAATGACTGAAACAGGTTGTTTCAGACCTAATGGATTACTTTCTATACTAATGAGGAGGACCCAAGAACTCTGGTTTTGTTAAGAAATATCAAAATTGTCATTGCTGATCTCAGTGTTAACTGACAAAGAGTAAAAGAATCTAATGTTGCTGTGCCTGTAATCAAATTATTGTTCTGTGTGGCACATAAGAGGCGAGGTACAGCTCACTGAATTTCAAGAAACCTGAATCAGGAAGAATTGTTAACACAGCACTGCAATCAGTTTTTTTAAGTTGAAATCTTAAAAGTATGGGCTAAAGTTGTTTCCTTAGACTATAGTTGTTTAAGACAAACAATTGCATTACGTAACATCCTCCCACACCCCGGTGTTTTGGATTTCAACTGCAAACATTACTGGCAAGGATGGCAAAGAATGAAAAATCTATTAATTGACTATCCTGTGGCAATATGGAAAAGTGCATGTCATTATATTATGAATTCTCTCCAGTCATTTAGGCAAAGATATACTGGGAGCAGTAATGAAAGCTTGCTATGCTGCAGGTGCTTGTGCAACTAATAGTTGAATAAAATAGTCTAAAATCTCAATTAAATATGCCACCCACTAAAGTGATGGATATGAGGGAAAAAAGACAATATGCACTTACATTTAAATTTAGTAAAGGTCGTTATAGCTGTAATAGACAGACTGCTAAAATTTAAGACAGCAAATACTTGAAGCTTTTTGGCTCATCATTTTAACTTAGACTCATGATTATTGTTCAATCTTGAGTGACATGTGACAAATATTAACATACTGTTAATGTTATTTTCTTGCTTTTCTTGATAGGCTAACATAAAAACAGCATTTTATTACCAACCATTACTGCTTCCTTTCCTATTTATTAAACTACTCTTTGAAAGGTAATTGGATGATTTGTTCTTACATAAAAATGTATCTGATAATTTTTTTTTATTCTTTATATGTTCAGATACTTTTTTAATAAAGAAGGAGATTTTAACACCCTGACAGCTGCAGCTTATCATAAGAAAATCCATCTGTTGGTCACTGGATTTGCTTCTGGAATTTTTCACCTTCACGAACTTCCAGAATTCAATCTCATCCATTCTTTAAGGTTAATGTTAATATTAATATCAAAGATTGAGGATACGTATAATATTAAAGAAATAATTATTCATCTGTTTTGTTTAAAGACACCTTTTATTTAGTGGGAAGAGTACTTGAAATAATATATTTAATTTTATATACAAAGAGAGACAGAGAGATGTTTTTGATCTATTTAATTTTTTTATTTGTTTTGTTCAGCATTTCAGACCAGAGAATTGCATCTATTTCCATCAACAGTACTGGTGACTGGATTGCCTTTGGATGTGCAGGTTCATAATTAAGATATTCTAAGGAATTTGGGGGGAGGAGGGGCTGTTTATGTAGTATTGTTAAAATGTTTTGATGTGTACATAAATACCTATATACATATCCAGGATGCCATGTTCTTTTAGTATAAAGCCATGTATACAGAGAAGAGAAAGTGTATAAAAAGTAGTAAGAGAAAGTAATTAAGGCATAATATAAGAAAGAAAAGGAAAAGAAATGTAGCTAATTTAAGTTTATACCAAAATTGTACTTCTCTATGCCTTACTCTCCTTGCAAATGGTTTTTGTATACTTGATGTCTCTCCACTGCTTCAAACATTCCCTTTTGTTTTTTAAACCTTTCACTTCTTTTATCTCCTCTTCATCAAATATATCTTGTTCAATCTTTCTAACCCTCTTAATGAATTCCTCAATGAGGAATGATTCACAAAAATGAAGGTGTAGTGAAAATATTTGTGGTTCATTCTTCATTTGACCAAGGTTAGACTCTTTCTGGTACATTCAGAGATCTCCACTGACCATGTTTCCTTTCTGTTGTACTGACAGGTCTGGGACAGCTCTTGGTTTGGGAATGGCAAAGTGAGTCCTACGTGCTGAAACAACAAGGCCATTTTAACAGCATGGTATCACTTGCTTATTCACCAGACGGGCAGTATTTAGTTACTGGCGGGGATGATGGAAAAGTAAGCCTGTTGATTAAAATGTTGATTTTTAAAAATAAGTCTTTAGTATATAGTTTAAGGAGACCAAGAAAGGAATTGTTAACAATATTAGAAGGATAATCTAGTACATTAACATTCCACAATTAAACTACCTAAAATCACAATATTGTTTTAGGTGCAGAAATTGCTTTGGAATGGATTTTTTTTTAAGAAAATATATATACATGAAATACTTGATTAGTATGAGAGGACAGTTTAAGAACCGGCAATCAGTAATGTAATTTGAATTTGCATTGAAGAAAATGACTATTTTTTTCAACACTTATGTTACAGAGATAATAATAATAGTAGTAGTAGTAGTAGTAGTAAAGTTGGAAGGGACCTTGGAGGTCATCTAGTCCAACCCCCTGCTCAGGCAGGAAACCCTATACCATTTCGGACAAATGGCTGTCCAGTCTCTTTTTAAAAACTTCCAGTGTTGGAGCATTTACCGCTTCTGGAGGCAGGTTGTTCCACTGATTAATCGTTCTCACTGTCAGGAAGTTTCTCCTTAGTTCTAGGTTGCTTCTCTCCTTGATTAGTTTCCACCCGTTGCTTCTTGTCCTGCCTTCAGGCGCGTTGGAAAATAGCTTGATTCCCTCTTCTTTGTGGCAGCCCCTGAGATATTGGAATACTGCTATCATGTCCCCCCTCGTCTTTCTCTTTGTTAAACTAGACATACCCAATTCCAGCAACCGTTCCTTATATGTTTTAGTCTCCAGTCCCCTTTGTTGCTCTTCTCTGTACTCTTTCTAGAGTCTCAACATCTTTTTTTCATCGTGGTGACCAAAACTGGATGCAGTATTCCAAATGTGGCCTTACCAAGGCATTGTAAAGTGGTATTAATACTTCACATGATCTTGATTCTATCCCTCTGTAAATGCACCTAGCACTGTGTTGGCCTTTTTGGCAGCTGCAGCACACTGCTGGCTCATATTTAGGTGATTGTCTACTAGGACTCCGAGGTCCCTCTCACAGTTACTACTATTGAGCAAGGTGCCACCTATGCTGTATTTGTGCATTTGGTTTTTCTTGCTTAAATGTAGAACCTTGCTTTTTTCACCATTGAATTTCATTTTGTTAGATAGTGCCCAGTGTTCAAGTCTGTCCAGATCCTTCTCTATCTTAAGCCTGTCTTCTGGAGTGTTGGCTATTCTTGCCAGCTTGGTGTCGTCTGCAAATTTGATGAGTTCCCCATCTATCTCTTCGTCCAAATCGTTGATGAAGATGTTGAAAAGCACTGGGCCCAGAACAGAGCCCTGGGGCACCCCACTACACACTTCCCTTTATATAGATGTGGTTCCATTGAGGACCACTCGCTGAGTACAACCGGTCAGCCAGCTACGGATCCATCTGGTGGTGATTCTGTCTACACATTTTTCTATCTTACCAAGTAGTATGTTGTGATCTACTTTATCAAATGCCTTACTGAAGTCCAAGTAAATTATGTCCACAGCATTCCTCTGATCCACTAATTTTGTCACTTGGTCAAAGAATGCAATAAAATTTGTCTGGCATGATCTATTTTTGACAAACCCATGTTGGCTTTTAGTAATGACTTTGTTTGCCTCTAGGTGTTTGTTGATTTGTTGTATGATTATCTTTTCCAGGATCTTCCCAGGTATTGAGGTCAGGCTGATAGGTCTGTAATTTCCTGGATCCATTTTTTTTCCTTTTTTGAGGATGGGAACTACATCAGCTCTTTTCCAGTCCTCTGGTAGTTCCCCTGTGCTCCAGGATCTTTGAAAAATATAGTTCAGTGATTCTGAGATCACATCTGCCAGTTCCTTGAGAGCCTTGGGGTGTAATCCATCTGGTCCTGGCGATTTGAACTCATCTAGGCTGGACAGGTGCTCACTTACCATTTTCTTGCCTATCTTAACTTGTGTTTCTATTCTGTTTTTTATGGCACTATTTCTGGTAGGTTGGTCTGTTTTTTCCCTTTGTGTAAAGACAGATGCAAAAAAACAAGTTAAATAGTTCTGCTTTCTCCCTGTTGCTTGTCATCTTCTTGCCACTTTCACCCACTAATGGACCAATCAATTCCTTCACTTTTTTCTTGTTTTTTACATGTTGAAAGAAGCTTTTTTTTGTTATTTTTGACTTTGGTCGCAAGCCTTAGTTCATTTTGAATCTTGGCTTTCCTCACTTCATCTTTGCAGGCTCAGGCTATTTGCTGATATTCTGACTTATTTGTGTGCCCCTCTTTCCACTTTCTGTACTTGTCCTTTTTATCTTTCAATTTGTCAGAGAGTTTTTATGCAGCCATGCTGGTTTCTTTTGAGAGCTGTTGTTTTTCCTATTTGTATTGGTATTGTGCTAGACTGTGCTTTTATTATCTCATTTTTCAAAATTTCCCAAGCTTCTTGAATTGTTTTCCCCTTGAGGATTCTCATCCATGGAATCCTTCCCAAGCCGTCTCTAAGTTTATTGAAATTAGCTCTCTTGAAGTCCAAGACTCTAGTTTGACTGTGTTCTATTGCTTGTGCTTCCATAATGTTGAATTCTAATATTGCATGATTACTTCCTCCCAGGGTTCCTATGGCTTCAACACCTTCTATCATTTCATCTCTGTTAGTGAGAATTAGATCCAAAATGGCTAATCCCCTAAACATAAGCATCACACAAGATAAACATCAAGATTATTTTTCTCCATTATTTGTTGTACTCTTTTGTTAACTCTGTTAGAAATAGAATATGGAAATGATCCTCCATTGCCTTTTTCAGAGATATTTTTCAATTTTCCAGTCAAGCTTGTATCTTGTTATCCCATTCAAGTACTAGTCCGATTAACCTTGACAAATCAACAGTTGTCAAGACCTATAAGATTATCCTTGACAAACCAAAACAATCCTATTAAGGAAATCAAACAGTAGTTGTACTAAATATTATTAAGTATAGAAAAGGATAAGTAACATATAAAACAATATAGAAATAAATCTGACTCTATGACAAAAATATATGTGCATGTTAATTGTCAGAAATATTAAGTATGCAGTTTCATAATTCATGCATGTTAAAATTGTAATTTAGGATGTGCATATATTAAATTATTTTGGAATACTAAATCTTAAAAATATTTTTGTGGTATTTATTGTTATTGCTAATTCAGCCTTGGAATGATAGTGTCTAATTTTATCTTTTGAGTTGCAATTACAGTTATGTTCTTATCATGATGCATAGCATAGAATGGGTTTTTTCAATTGTCAACATATTTAGGGGTTAGAAAGTTATATGTCTTATATATTTGTTTAATCCTGTTGGGGTCTACAAGAGTGATTCTGCTTTTTTAAAAGATAAATGTCTGGTTGGAGGAGAGTTGCATGACATCTGATTTGTTCTTTAGCTTGAGTTATATATGAAAAAGGTAAGATAAAAATGAACAGACAGATGAAACTTATGGGTATACCAGCTTTTGAAGAGATGATTCTATATGTTAACCTCCCTGCCAGGGTAATTATTAAGGTAGTGAATTGGACTATTGTTTCAAAAGTAAACTCTTCAAGTCAAATCATTAATCAATTACTGAAAGGGTTTAATTTATGTCAAGATGATTTAGAGCTTTTTGTTCCATTTCAGGTAAAAGTATGGAATACCAGCAGTGGCTTCTGCTTTGTCACCTTTACTGAGCATACCAGCATCATATCTGCCGTAATATTTACCAGTTCAGGATATGTTGTTTTGAGTGCTTCTTTTGACGGAACTGTGCGGGCGTTTGATCTGCACAGGTATGCTTATTATTTTACTTGCTTACTTTTAATTTTGTTCCATCAGAAAATTAGTGTATTCTTTATTAAAGTCTGAAGGTGCAATTTTCCATTAAATCAATTGCACTGTGTTCTCTTCGGCAGTTGTGTCAATTAATCTAATTGTATTAGTTAATCTAATTTGGAAGTTTCCCCTATAAAAATCATGCTCCATGATAGAAGAAGACTAGGTTGTTGTAGAAACATAATGAAAACCCTAGTCAAATAGTATTTTATGTAATTATTTTCTGTTTTCCAGCATTTAGGGGTTTTTAACTAAAAGTTGGCTTTATACATTATTCTTGCCTTTTGCAATAGATACCGCAATTTCCGCACTTTTACTTCACCGCGGCCAACACAGTTTTCCTGTTTAGCTGTGGACTCCAGTGGAGAAATTGTTTCAGCTGGTTCCCAGGATTCTTTTGAAGTATTTGTGTGGTCTCTGCAGAGTGGACGACTTTTAGATGTAAGACACAGACACTTTTTATGGTGCTTGCAGTAATCCATTTTGAAAAAAATGTTATTCTTACCAGTGTTGCCCTTAAAAATGAGATCCTATATTGGTACAATTTTAAGTGATTATTAAAATCAAACATATTTTAAAGCAGATTATTTACGTGAAAAAAATAATACCAGATACAGTAAAAGAATTCCCGATTTGGCAACCATTTTCCACAGTTATTAAGGAAACCATCATGGTCTTTAAATAAATCACACAGTTGTTAAGTGAATCACATCATAGTTAAGCAAATTGGGCTTCCCTCATTGACTTTGCTTGTCAGAAGCCTCCTAGGAAAGTTATAAATGGTCATCCAGTGACTGCAGGACATTGCACCTGTCAGTTGCCAAGCACCCAAATCGTGATCACATGACCGCAGGGGTGATGCAGTGTTTGTAAGGATTGGACTGGGCTCTTCAGTAGCGCAGAGATCAAATAAATCACAATTTCCTTTTTTGTTTTAATTATAATTTTTTTACTTATTTCCAAAGTGAAAATACAAAATCCAAGAAAAAGAAAAGAAAAAGGAACAAAACAAAGGCAACAAAAGAAAAAAGTGCATAAAATAAAATACAAACATACGCATAAAATGTCCCTCTTGGTTGAGTACTGCTAAATATATTTCAAGATGATGATGATGATTATGATTGTTATTATTATTATTTCTCGTTGTTACATAGATACTTTTTTTTCATTAGGTATTAGATGGTCATGAAGGACCTATCAGTAGTCTGTGTTTTAACCCAGTGAAGTGTGTTCTGGCAAGTGCCTCTTGGGATAAGACAGTCAGATTGTGGGACATGCTGGATAGCTGGAGGACCAAAGAAACGCTGGCATTAAGTTCCGATGGTAAGTCTGTTGGAATGTCATAACTGTCACATCTTGTTTGGGTGACGTTTGCAATAATTATGGGGTTCCCTAGTGTAGTGAAACCAATCACATGGAGACCTCCAGAGCACTGGTACTGCAACAAAAGCTTCCATGAGATACAATTTTTATTAATGGGTCTGAATTGAGCTTTACTGTTTTGTTTTGTTTTTTATTTAATACACTTTAGAAGTTGCTTAACTCCAAATAACTCTGGTTGGCTTATATTTAAAAATGTAAAAACAATGTAAAGCAAGAGTGTTTAAGCACCCAGAAAGCAAAGTGTGAATAATGATAAAATATCATATAGGGGACTCAACCACTACTCTGTCACAACACCTGTCACAACAGCCATGTTTTCACTACCTTTCTGAATACCATCTGGGTGATAACTGTACAGATGTCCAACTAATCAGAGGAGAAATTATATTGACTATGTTAAAACTTCTAGTATTGCACATAGGTTTCAGTATAAGAAACGGGACCATCCTTATAAAATGTGGAATCTCTATACTTGTGGAAATTTAAAACATAACAAGTGGTCTCTGATAATTCTTTGAGCGATGAAAAGTAATGCAATCAAAATGCATGGAATGGAACGAATCTTAAATGAAGCTTGTTTTTGATTTCACTCGTGATCTTTGCTGCAGTGCTTGCTGTTGCTTTTCGTCCGGATGGCAGTGAGCTTGCTGTAGCTTCCTTGGATGGACAAATCACTTTCTGGGATCATGAAAATGCAATGCAAACAGGATCAATTATGGGGCGACATGACCTTCAGATGGGGAGGAAGGAACTGGACAAAATAACTGCCAAACAAGCTGCTAAGGGCAAGTGGGTAGAACACTTACCATCTTTTTATCTTTTTTTTTTCTGAACTGAGGGTATCTATTATAATTGGTGGAATTTTTCATCTGAATATTTGAATTTTATTACTATAGGCTTATTTTCATATTGGAACTGAAAGATTTGCTTTGCATGTTTTCTATGGTTTTCTTTTGAATACTTGAATCCTAAAATTATAGATATTTATTGAACTCAATTTTCAGCCAGAGTGAAAATATGAATCTATAAAATTTATGGTGGAACCCTTAGAACAGGCTTGTAGAATCATGGACTGTAAAGGCTGGAAGGATCTTGAAGATTTAGTTCAACCTAAGCTTTATTTGGAACATAACCTTGAATGCATTTCTTAGATCTAACAGCGCCCTTTTTATAACTTTTTAATCGACAAAGATTGTAAGAAATAAAGTGAACATTTCAGGAATGTGTTTAACTTGTTTGGATTTTACATGGGGATAATTTTTTACAAATACCTCTTTAGATTTTCAAATCTTACAAGTTTGAGTAAGATTTAAATTGAGTATATCTGCACATGTGGGTTATTGCATAAAAGTATGCTTGAAAAATTCCCAACCCTATCATATAGGATGCAGACTGCAATTATTTCAGAGTAACTGCTTGGGTGAGAACTATAAATTGTGTAATACGGAGCTTGAGATACATGTCAAATTATTGATTTTAACATCTTTTTTCAGATCTTTTACAAGTCTATGCTATTCTGCTGATGGCCAATGCATTTTGGCAGGAGGTCTGTCAAAGTATGTTTGTATTTATCACGTGAAGGAACAGATTCTCATTAAAAAGTTTGAAATATCTTGCAATCTTTCCTTAGATGCAATGGAGGTTAGTATGTGTGCATTGGACATGGGATAAATCTTGTAAGTTTATGAAATAAAAGCATGGTCACTATTGCTACTTGTCTTACCACAGATTATTTTTAAATTAATGGTGAATGTATTCTTTGATTGAGTAATTTAAATTTGTGTCTGTGACTTGATTGTCTGCTCTAAATCATTCTTTATTAAGATGTTTTTATTTATCAATGCTCTGTTTTTGTAATGTTATATCAATTTATCAGACAATTCATGGTTCTATTGAGGAATAGAAAGGATTTAGCATCCTATTATAAATAGAGTATTCTGAAACATATTTGGAATTTGAAATGGGCTATGTTGTTGTATATTTTATTTTACAGGAGTATTTGGACCGCAGGAAGATGACTGAGTTTGGGAGCATGGCATTAATAGAAGAGGGAAATGGGGATGACGACGACATTGTCATTCCTCTTCCAGGAGTTAAGAGAGGTATTAGTTAATTTAAACCATGTGTATCAGATTTATTTAGATTTTCCTGATGAAAAGGGTGAAGTTTTTAAAAAGTCCTTTTGTTTCCTCTCACTTGACAAAATGATTAAATCTTAGTTTGGAGATCAGCCAATGCCTTTATCAAGGAATGAGAAGCATTGCACATGTTACGTTCATTGGAAAATATTTCAACTTATTAAGTGTTTTACGGCGATATTTTTTTCATTATGTTACGATTTTAGCCAATACAATGATTTAGAAAGTCTTGCACTTAATAGCCATTATTGTTTTTACTGCTGCCCCTACTGTGTATATGTATCGCTACTCTCACTTCACCCCATTTTCTACTCCCTACGTTGCCTGAATTTAATTAATTAATTTGGAATAATTCATGACAAGACAAAATTGGCTTGATCAGTAAATACTATGATCCCAATATGTTTGCTAAAGGTTTCTAAAGTTGGCAACTGACAAATGTAAATGTTCCAAATGATTGCTGTGATAGTAACAACTGTATGCATCACATAAACATTTGTACTGGTTAATGTGTTGAACAAGGACAGTCATTTACTTCCCAGGGTGGGGGTGGTGGCTGGGGTGGAGGATGGAGGATGGAGGATGGAGGAAACACCCTGTCCAACAATTTGACTTTGATGGGATATACCTTTTTTTTTTTTTTTTTTTTAGAAAAGAAATGTAAATGTATCTGTGTGGTTCTTTCTCTTGCCGCACACTTCTTTTGTAGAAAGAATCAGTTTACAGTGTCAGCACTGGTTTGTACAAGGAAATTATTGAGGTTTTTTTTTCTTTTCAGGTGATATGAGTTCTCGGCATTTTAAACCAGAAATAAGAGTAACGTGCCTCCGCTTCTCTCCTACTGGTGGGTTTTTGGAGGATTACTTGAAAAATGTTCTTCATTTCTTTGTCTGTCCACCTGCCCTCCCACATCTCCATAATTTTAGCTAATGTCACAGTGCTTCTCTTTCAGGAAGAAATTGGGCAGCAACCACTACAGAAGGTCTTCTTATCTACTCGTTGGACTCTAGTCTCACCTTTGATCCATTTGACTTAGAAATTGACATCACCCCTAGCAATATTCGTAAAGTATTGCACCAAAAGGAGTTCACTAAGGCTATTGTCATGGCTTTTCGACTAAATGAGAAGAAAATGATTCAAGAGGTTCTAGAAACTGTGCCCTATGATGAAAGTAAGTTGGACCACTATTACTGCCCTAATGTGATGGTTGCAGAAAACAAGATTCCCTAAGTTTCTAAGTTGTTAGCAAAACTTGGTGTGTGTGTGTGTGTGTGTGTGTACTAAAGAGAAGGAAAAAAGATAATATCCCCAATAATTTGAATGTTTTAAGTGAATAGAAGTTCTCTAATTATTAAATATCACACAACAAAGGGGAAATTGTAAAAAGGAATTACGTCATGCAATATAGCGTTTCCTTGCCTTTAGTTTCCTTTGCTAAAAATGCAGACATTTTCCTTCTGCGCAAGTCATGACAAGTGGACTGTTTTGACATGTTTACTCATTGTCAACTAATACATCCTCTTGTTTATTGTTAAAAAAAAAAACAGTTGATGTAGTCTCCTCATCGCTTCCAGACTTGTACATAGAAAAGGTCCTAGAATTTTTAGCATCTTGCTTTGAGAAATCTCGTCACTTGGAATTCTATCTCATATGGACTCAGAAGTTGCTGATGCTGCATGGATGCAAGTTAAAAACAAGGTTAGTGAACTCAGCTTAATATGGTTCAAAGAGAGAGAATACGTATTATCAGTTGATAACTTTAAAAGTAGATTTATATCTACCCTCAGATATAAGGTAGTTAGAATGTCAGTGAAAGTCCATTCTTTTTTCATTGGCTTATGGTGATTTGACTGAAGACTGGAACACAAGAGAAGCAGCAGATATGCTTCCAACTGCCATATCCTAGAAAAGTTGCAATATGTATGCTCTATGTCTATATATCTGTTGCAACTAGTCGCTATTTTATTGGTAAGATACTTTTTCAAACTCATTGATGCTTTGAAAATTAAATATAAATTAGCATTTGGGCTTTTATATTTAGCATTTCTAGGACTTATTTCTAGGGTTGTGTGAAGGCTTGAAAAAAATGTGCATTGGCACCAAGAAGCTACTGCATTCTTTTACATTTTTGTGGCTTTGACATTTTTGCTATGTTTGTATGTGTGTGTATGGCATAGTTTCACTACTCTGAAATGTATATGCAGGTAAAAAGAAATCTTGCAAAGGTTTTTTTTTAACGTTTCAAGGTTTTTATACTGATGCTTCTTTCAAACACTTTGCACAGCCCTCATTTATAGAATGTCTATATTTTTGACTGTTTGCAGGTCAGAAAAACTGCTGCCTATTGTTCAGTTTCTTCAGAAGAGCATTCAGAAACATTTTGAAGATCTTTCTAAACTGTAAGTATTTGGTTCGATTCTGTTTTACGTAATTGGGGAGAAATAAAAAAACAGCACCATAGGATCATTTTATTTTTTAAAAAATGTGTTTTCCTTTTTCCCATTACTTATGTCAGGCTGTAATCTGGGTAAGTGCCAGCTCTGTCTGATTTTTTCCTTTGGGCCTTTAATCATTCTTTGTTCTCGGTAGCCCAAAATTACTATGTTAACAACAGTCCATACATATGATATCAAAAACTACACATTCTAATGGCAGCGGAAGACGTAGAAGCTTGTCTTATTTACTCTAGTATTCAATATTAGAATACCTTGCAACTGGAAGTAACTACGTTGAAAGCAAAGTTGTATATTTGATTAGAAACTGTATTCTATAGAATATCCAAAGTTCTTTGCCCATACTATCATTGTCTCTTTTACTTGTTCTTCTTCCATCTTCCAATTTAATAAGTATTTATAAAGCTTCTTAATCAAATGTTCATCTGTTTTTAAAAGTATTTTATCAAGTGGAGTCAGCTCTTTGTAAAATCCCATTATTTTTATGTCTTTTGAATACTTGCTAAACAGGTATGTTTAGCATTGTTTTTGACTTATTTTGGTGATGGCTTTTCTTTCCACAGTTGTGATTGGAATTGTTACAACATGAAATACATTCTATCTATTTCCCAACAACGGGGTATGAAACGCAGAGCAGAAGATTCTGAGAACAATGATTTGAAAAATTTGGAAGATTCCAGTAATGAGGATTTTATGGAAGAATCATCTGTACATTTATAGAAATATGACACTTTTCCCATGTATAAATTTAAACAGTGTTATTCACTGAGAACTTCATAGCCCTTGAAGTGGCCTATTTTTTATAGATTATTTGAATGTGAAATAATATATCTGGGAGAAAGCAGTTTGCCTTTTGTACACTTTTTTCAGTAATTGAATAGCTAGACAGTTATGGTCACTAAATCCCAACCATGGTTTTTTTCTCGCAGTTAGACAAGCATTGTAATTCCATTGTAGACTGCATGAATCATAAGTGTTCCTACCCATGTCTGATGCTCAGAGTTGGTGATTTACAAATTACCTAAATGACTTTTTATGTAAAATTACTTATATAAAATAAATATGTGTATAGGGGAAGAATGGGAAAAGACACAAAGACCAAAAGAATGAACAGAATAGATTCAGATTTATACTTTTTGCAAATAAAGTTTTCTTTCTTGTAAGTTATTTTTTAGTCCACCTGAAAATCAATTTCAGTTTTATTCAACAGAACTTGTTCCTTTTCATTAACACTTTCTGATTCTTTTGTAAAAGTAAACATTTCCCATGAGAAAAGATCCTTTCAGTTAACTTCAAAGTCTTAAAGCAAGTCCATGTAAGCTCTTAATCGGTTTAAAAAATTCTAAAATTAACATTAAGAATCTTTTTGCTGTAAATGCCACAATGTTTTCTTCTTACAAATCTTTAAACTTGTAATTAAGCTTTTTTTAAAAGGATTGTAGAAAAACTCGCCCAATGATTTCAATAAAATTGCCAGTCTGAATCTTCTCAATCTTTAAACAACAACAAAAATAAATGTGATTAAGAGATGAGCCTAGGTCAAACTTAAAGAGTTTACATAGATGACATTAGCAGTTATAAGCATGATGGAATCCCATGACTCCCAGCCAATTGTAAGCTGACTGCAAAAATGCAATTCCTGCCATCTGCTCACAAAAAAAAAAAAAACAGCTGTCCATAGTACATACGGTAATTTTGTGATCTCTCCTTACTCCAAAAAGATTTTGGCAGCCCAAATCTTGCATTTGAGTATTACTCTCTGTTGCAATGTGTCCTGTTCTATTCAGTTCACCATGGTGGCTCTCCAAAAGCTCTTATTTGAAATAATTGAAAGTCTGTTCAGAGTTTCAGAGGAAGGGTTTGGACTCCGTATGTTATGAAATCACTGTTGTTGGTATGTAATTGTGTATCTGTGGTACCAAAAATGCTTTGGAATTCTTTTTTCTGATATAGCCTGAATAGAAATTACGAAGAAATTCTATTGGTTTAACAGTAGAAATGCTTTAGAACTAGAGGCTAGAATAAATGAAGTTATTTGTATTTGTTGCCCTGGAATTGTACCTGGCTTATTTTTTTCCCTAGAGTTCTCTTTTGTTCTGACTTACTTTTTTCCCTAGAGTTCTTTTTTGTTCAAAAAGGTAGTTTGCTACTACTAATAAAAATATAATAGAAAAATACCATTCAATATAGAATATATATTTTTTGAATAATATTTGAAAATGATAAACTGGGAGATGTGACCAATCAGGCATCATCAAAAATACTTGCTTCATGAGGTGGAATAACAAACAGCATTTCCTGTCTTAAAATACTATATTATTTTGCTGGATAAGAAAATATCTGTATCCCTGGGAATAAAAATATAAGTCTAATCACTAAAAACAACTGTTTGATTTCTTTCTGAGACAATTACAATTTTGGTTTTAGATGGCCATGCCATTCTGATTCATCGGAGTAATTATTCCATCTCAGCTTCCTTACCTTGTTTTTCAGTACTGTATTAAGTAATAGTGAAATTAGTGCAATATGGTGGAAAGATACAGATGTCAATATAAATCCTCAGCTGATTAGAAAAAGAATCAAGTTATTTTAATGAATAGTTTTTACTGCATCAAAGTAAGAGGTGAAGACTCTTGGATTCTGTAAAAACTTAGATTGTCCATAAAAAAAATTAGTTTTCTAAAGTCCCTTGAGGCCCTATAAAAAATACTATTTCTGTTCCTTAACCATTATTAAGAAAATTTGTGGCTTATTTTCTGGAAAAAGATGGCAAATAAATATCAGAAGTTTGGTGTAGTTGTTAAGGTGATAGGTTGGAGACCTGAAGATTGTGAGTTCTAGGGCCATCTTAGGCATGAAAGCTGGCTGCATGGCTTTGGTCCAGTCACTCACTCTCACTCAGCCCAACCCACCCCCCAGGGCCACTATTGTGGGGAAAACATGAGGAAAGGGTATTAGCTACATTCACTGCCTTATTTATAAAATATAATAAAGGCAGCATAAAAATTAAAACTGGAGGGTAAAGTGCTTCACAAAATGTATACTTGATTAAATTTACACAAAATAGTTAACTAGAGTTTATTTTGAAATAAGGTATAGTTGAACTTAAGTACATGACTTAGTAATTATATATATTTACTCCTATAACATGAACATTGGCTTAACTACCATTTGTAAAAGCGTGTTCTAATCATACTGCTTTTTCAACAGTTACGTAATTGATAGGTGCATAAAAATGGGAGGCTGTACCTAGATCACTACACTGATCCCTTGCTACTAATGGTACTATTTGTACAGTATTCTTTTCCTCATTCCAACATACCTTATTTTGCAGATTTTTGGATTAAATGAAATTTTGGAATAATAAGTCATATTGCTTAATCCTAACATAACAAAATATTTTACTGAACATTTCCATAATCTAAGTGGGAAAATAATACTGTAGTTTTAACACAGTAAGATAGACCCAAAAGGTGGCTTGAGAAAATGCTTGGGTTAGATACAGTACATGAGCCCATAGTTTGGCACTTGTGCCAGGCAAGAAAATAAAGAACTTAACTTAAATTCGGTTTTTCTTCCTGTTCTGAAACTTTTGAACGGACCAATACAAGACGAGACTATGATGCAGATAGTGCTTCCCTTTCAAAAAATGTCAGAAGGAAGTTTAAATTGTCGATACCAATGCAGCCCCAAACTGGTATAATCATCCACAAAAGAGGTGCAGTCCTGTGTTAAAGACCTTCAACTGGGAGGACTCAAAAGCTGCAGGGATCGGCAATTCCACCAGGTTGGTTTCGCTATACAAACCACCAGAATGGATTGTATAGAATAGTTATCCGAGGGTGTTGCTTCCCTTCCCCGTCCCCCGAAAGGCACTACCGAAGAATTTGTGTGGGGTTGATCGGACAGCCGCTACGTTGCATTTTGCGGAGGCTGGACAGCGCCAAAGATCACGCTACTCCTCCTGGCAACGACCTGACCTAAGTGACAGTGACGCGGAATAAATCCTCCGACCTCTAGGTGGAGCTGCGGCGTCCTCTTCTGAAACTCAGCCTTTGGAAAAGCCATTTAGAAGGCTTTGGTGGCAGCGGAGCGTTCAGTTCCTCTTCGGTTGGGTTTCCTCGGAGTCGAGATGTGGGCTGCTAAATTCGCGAACCCCCGTTCGCCTCTCTTGTCCTCGGTGCTCTTACTTTCGAAGGGAGTCCCAGCTTCCAGCTCGCCCTTTCACTCCTCGGCGCACCGTCACAGAGCTAAAGTGGCCGTGGTGAGTTCGCCTCCGCCGCAAAGGCAGCCGCAGCAGCCTCATGGCTGCCAGGAGTAGGAGGAGGAACCGTAGCCGGGAGGGGTCCTTTTTAGAAAGCTTTGAGACGCGGGACTCCACCGCCTCGCTCAGCCTGCGCTCCCTCGGCAGCCGCATTTCTCAAACTCCGCAAAAGAGGCTTCCGTCCGGCAGCCAAGGCAAGCATTTGCAGCGTTGGATCATTTTCCAAGACAGGGAGTCTGCTAACTTTGCCACAGTTGGAGAGTCAGATAGGGGCTGTGTGTGTGTGTGAGAGAGAGAGAGAGAGAGAGAGAGAGAGAGAGGGAGGCGCCAAAGATTGGTAACAAGTGAAATTCCGCACAAGTATGTTATGTAGCTGTATCTGGCCGACCTTGGCTTGATTCGGCCATTGGGGAGTCACAAGAATTAAGGAATCCTAGGATTAGTCTAGGTAGGAAGTCGCACTTCTCACAAGGCAATGGGGTCAACTCATATACCGGGGTGTGTGTGTGTGTGTGTATTCCTGTAATCATCCGAAGCTGAGTTGACCCCAGTGATAACTATAAGTTACTTCTGAGTGTAATTTATGTGTAAGGATATATTTAAATTCATTTGTCTTCAAGCACCTATGCCCTATATGAAATGTCCATTTGGTATGTTAGTGACTTGCTCATAATTACCTATTGAATGTAGTGGCTGAAACCTGGGTCTCTGCAATTGTAAACCAGCATTGTAAGGACGAGTGTACATTTGCATTTTAGATTATCTCTCAACTTTGTGCAGCATCTAGAGCTACAAAAAGTAGACAAAAGAAGTGAGTGAAGGGACAACACTGAATTTGTTTGGATTAAAATTAAATTAAGTGCAACAGCATTCAGTGTGATTAATCAAATGGCCTTTCTATTACATTAAAAATTATAGCTTATTTACAGCATCTGGAGGGCTGTTGTGATCTAGGGAGGCACAGTTAGGCATTTCTGCTCCAATTTGTCTACCTGTATAGTCACAGTTTCTTTGGTATCTTCAAGACTGATATTTAATGGAGGTAATTTTAATCTTCAAAACATTGTGCTATGTTAATGTATTATTCTTTTAAGCTATCTCTTATTTGTATTGCTACAGATTACTTGCACAAGGTGGCCAAGGTCTTACGGGCTTGGAAAGCAACTAATTGTTATCTGTTGATGCACTTTATATTTATATATAGACATATACAGTAATACATAAAGGTGCATGTGCAGTATAGCACTATACAAATCAGAAATAAGCCCATTATTCTTGATTGGACTTCTTACTAGATTGTAACTGCATCTCTGGTTCTTTATAGGAGAACAAATCTAAACATCCTGGGACCATCCAAGTGTATATTAGAACAGCCTAGACTAGAGCATTCATTGTGCTTTCAAGCGTCCACTATTATTGTAGAAAATTTGTGGCACAATTTCTGCCTTACTTTTTTGAGGCAGAAAGCATGCAAAAATTGTAGGTAAGACTTACAGTAGGTTTACAATGTTTAATCCCCCCTAATATTTCTCCAAGGAACAATCAAGTTCTGTTTGTTTCTTTTTTTTTAATATTTTTATTGAATAACAAAAATTAAAAACATTGAACATGGTAAATCAGAATTGACATACATCTCAGTTCATATTCACAATAAATTACTAATATAAGAAAAAAAAACCTTTACAATAACATCACTGTAATCTCAATCTTAACTTATCTCATTACAATGATTTCCATATTTTTTTCCCCACCATCTATAAAATTTGTTCCAAATTTGGTAAAAATCCGTTTCATCCTGATTTTTGAGTCTTTTAGTTAATCTATCTAATTCTGCGCAGTGCATAATTTTATGAATTAAGATTTCCTCACTAGGTATAGCCGTAGCTTTCCAATTTTGAGCGAATACAATTCTTGCCGCTGTAGCCACATGAGTAAATAAATACATATCTTCTTTACTAACATTATTTTCAAGAATTCCTAACAACAATGTCTCAGGTTTATACTGGATGTTTTGCATACTCATTTCTGTTACACATTCCCAAACCATACGCCAATAACTCTGTGTTTCTTTACATAACCACCAAACGTGAAAATATGTGCCCTTTCTTTTTTACATTTCCAACATTATAATGAGTATCCTTTGTACATTTTGGCTAATCTTGCTGGAGGGAGATGCCATCTGTAAATCATCTTATACGAATTTTCTTTATATGAAGACGCCAAAGTAAATTTATTATTTTGCATCCATACCTGCTGCCATTGATCCAAATTGATGTTGTGTCCTAGATCTATCACCCATGTCACCATTGTTTCTTTAACCTGTTCTTTAAATAGCCTGTATTCCAATAGGATTTGACTGGCTGTGTCATTCTTCCGCTCCATGTTAACCAAGTGATGTTCTCTCCAGCAGCAGAAATATAAAGCCACCCTTTATTTGCTTTCTCTTATTTTTTAATAGTCTGTGTCTATAGTCTGAATGCACATGCTACTTTACAGGTGCATTCTAGCAATTTCCCCTTTTCTGCCTATGAGCTCTTGATCTTGTTCTGACTTATTTGCCTTCTCTAAAAACAAACCCATGATTTTGCCACAGACTATCCCTTTAACCAGATACTTGAAACTGACACAATCCCATATTTCACATATACTTTGTATAATAAAATAACCTACATTACTTGTAGAATCAAATAATCTGTAAAACTGGGTGTATTATTTTATCTCCAGATGTATTTGCTCCCTCTTTTAAATTGGTTCACCACCTTTTGTGGTCTTCAAGCTGTGTCACGCTATTACTTCTATCATATCTGAACTTCAGTATATTTAGTAAGGTTAGGAGATATCTAGGAAAGACTATTTTAATTTGTCTTTCTTTCTTATTACAGGTTCTTTCTGGTTGTGGTGTTTATGATGGCACTGAAATCCATGAAGCCTCTGCGTAGGTGTATTTTTAACATCGTAGGACGACCTCCATTGCCATAAGTAAAGCTGATAGATAGATAATCTAGTTATCTAGGCAGCATTTCAGCATTAAGTGACTTCCCATTAGAATATTTTGGAATCTCATTTTTTCCTTCTATCAGTATTTAGTAGCCTCTAGATGAGAGGGGTGGAACATAAATCTAATAAATAAAATAACATTTCATTTTAAATTAAACTTGCATTTAATGGATTGTTTATTTAGGCTCATTCTGGCTTTATTATATTTTGATAATAATGAATATTGGAAAAAGTCTGGATAATGGTTATGGCAATACCTGGAGACAGCAGAGTAGAAGAGAAAGAACTGGGGAATAGAAAGACTGGCAAAAGAGAGTAAAGGTAGTACCAATATTAATTGGTACCAATATTAAGGCATCTTGGTGTAAGAGAAGAACAGACTGAGCTAGAAAAGGGATCCCCAACCTGTGGGCCGCAGCCTACTTGGCCACTGGGCTGCAGAATAGGCTGGCCAATGTGCGCATGTGTGCGCACGCACTCATACCCACTTGTGCTAGCGTCACCGTGTGGCAAAAACAGGGCAGTGCTAGCGACTGTGCTAGCAAGTGTCACGCGGGCATCAGCACCATCCCATTAGCGTCACACGTGCTCACAGCCTATGCTTCCCCCTCCCTTTCCCTCCGGTCTGCCAACCGAGAAAGGTTGGAGACCTCTGAATTAGAAGATAAGGTTAAACATGGCAGTTAGAGCATCATTGGAATATCATCAGCATTGACAAAATCAGTCAATTGCCAAAGGCAGTTTTACTTGGAACAGCTTGCATCCTGCAATGATACCTTTAACACCATCAAACATCAACATCTGCCTATCCCAGGCTGTTGAGAAGGATCTGATAGGTGATAAAAATGCCAAATCCAGTCTAAACTCGTGACTGACTGTGTGATGAACTATAGTAATAGTGACAAATCCAGTCTAAACATCTGGCTGAGTATGTGACAAGCCATAGTAATTTATTGAATTTATATATAGGATAATGGTTCATTTGAGCCGTGGAGGAGCCAGTGTTGACATGTATGCCCCAAATATTTCTCAGATGCATGTAATTGATCACAGCAGAGGGCAGCCAGCTGACAGGGAATCAAGGTAAGAATTACGCAAATATATGATTGATTAATGATGTGCCATCAAGTTGTTGATGACTTTTAGTGACCACATAGTTAAGATTTTCTCCATGATGATCTATCTCTAACCTAGTTCTTCAGTTCCTTTAATGGCGCCCCCCCCATCACCAGTTTAACAATCTATCAACCTTGCTGCTGGTTGTCCTCATCTTTTATCTTCCATCTTGCCCAGCACTGGAGACTTCTTCAGAGAGCTGGATCTTCTAATGTATTTGAAGTAGGTTAATTTGAACTTGATCATTGTGCCTTGAGTGAGAACACTGTGTTCTTTTTTAAAACTCTATTGATAACCAGTACTCTAAAATTGGATGCCCCAAAAACATTTATATTGATATTCTCCTAAGAAACGTCTTAACAGAATCAGCAAGGATCGCTCGTGGGAAAATTACCGACTTGGCTAGACTTACTGCAAGAGACTATGATGCGGTAGTATTTCCTGGAGGCTTTGGAGCTGCTAAAAATCTGTGAGTATTGAATTCTGTAAGTTGCCACAATATGTTACTACAGCTTTGCTAATCAGATGTGACTAAATGACATAGGAAGTGTAAATTGTAACTGTGACCCTGAACTGAAATTAGTAAAATGTACTTCTAAATATCCTTTCTCAAATCATGAAAAATAGAATTAAAAGTTGCTCTCCTTTCTATATGTCTTGGAGTGAGAATATACTGTGGTTACTTCAGGAAAGATTGCAATATTAACTGCAGTAATTAATGCAATATAAGTTCTTGTAATTAATGTGTCAAATAAGTTGAAAATCTATATTTCAAATTTGTTGACAACCTTCAACCTCTTAAAATGTGCCATAGTTGACTTATTGTATTGCATGAAAGGAAAATGTTTATTTTTCAGGATGGCTTCCATATTAAGGCCAAAGTTAGTTTCTCATATAAGAAATAACTAATTGTCTGTTTAATTTGTATTTTGCGTTTATTTCTTATTTATTCAATTATCTATTAAGTATTTTAGAATTTAATTTTTTCCTTTGCATGGAAGTATTACAGTCTTTACTGAAATCTTGAGTGGTGGTCTGGGTGTGACATATGAAAAATGCTTTTTAGGACAAAGCTTGGGAAATATTAGTGTGGACTAGGACTGGGCATGCATTTAAAATTACTTAGAAGACCAGTCTGAAATATCTGGAAGCATAACCGCAGCATATCTTCAGAGGAGCCTCTTTTTTGGGTTTCTGTGTAAGCCTGAAAAAACCACCACCAGTGCAATTCATTAAAACAGCTCTATGACTGTTATACTTGCCTGGAAGCACTGCTTTTGAAACATACATAACTCTGTTTAAGCTAGCTGTAAGATAAGACCAGAATAATCCCCTACTCTTGATTCATTCACATCGCCATTTATTTAGTTGCTCTCTCTTTTCTCCCCTCTCTGAGTTTCTCTTTCAGCATCCCTTTGCCAACATATATGTCGATAAGACATTGACAGTTGTGTCATTTCTTTCCTGGAACATTCAGGGAAACACTTTCTTCCCAATTGGTTACAAATCCTGTCCCTGGCAAAGCAATTAGAGAGAAATGTTTTTCTGTTGGTTCTTATGGAAGCTTGTTTAAAGTCTCAGAAGTAGCAGAGCAAAGGAAAGAATCCCAAAGTTCCACTTTTTAAGATAAAAGCAAGAAATAATTCATGTTCTCTTTCCTGAATTCTTGGAAATAGGAGAATTGCTGGAAGTATAGGCTAGAAAGGAGAAATATAAATACATAATGTATTGATAAACCCTTATCTCTCAACTTCTATTTCTTTTTTGAAGGAGAAGTAGAAAGACGGACTTGGCTATTCCTGACATTTTGCTGGAAAAAGCATTTCCACATTAAAGGAACAGTATTTGCATTTATGAATGACAAAAAATATGGTTATTTCATATCTTGTAGGTTACTGAATGTGGATGTGTATCTTAGAACTGTAATGCATTGTATGGGTTTCTTTTGTTTTGGCAGATCTACCTTTTCTGTGGATGGGAAAGATTGTAAAGTTAACAAAGATGTTGAGCGTGTGCTGAAAGACTTCCACAAATCAGGGAAGCCCATTGGGTATGTTACCTATTTAAATACTCTTTTCCAAAGAGCCCTTCATAGCTCTCAGTTCGGTCAGAGACTTACTTCTGGTGATTCTCTCAGGTAAAACGAATTTACAAGCCTAGAACTGCAAAACCAGATTGGTTAGGCACTTGGCAAGTCACAGTTGATAGCTGGTGGCTGCTGTGAGCTTGGGGGAGGGTGTAGTCATCTAATTAAGCTAGTTTAAGCTATTCATTAAAATTCATTAAAGTTGTTTACTGTCAATTTTCAAGGTGTCTGAATAGTACTTTAGAAGGGCAACAGATATGTCAGAATCAAAGGTATTCAGAAAAAGCACCTGTCTATTGCTTTTTAAAGTAGGTGTGTCTTTTCCTGAGGTTGCATGGCTGCCCTCTCCAGTGCAAACATAATCCCGCTTAGGTATAATACAGCAAACACTTCTATGAAGAACTTATGAGGCTTTCCTTTAGCCTGAGATGCAGTTCTTTTTCTTTTTGAAACTTTTTTAGTTATGACATAAAAAAAGGGGATGAGGAAGCAAACTGCAAAGTATCAAATAAAATAAAAGCAAAAAGCAAAATATATGTGCAGTCTCCTCTCTCTGTTGTTGATTGTCTATATTTTTAAAAACCACAAAAACTAATGGTTTATATAAATATAAATGAAGTATTTAAATGCCATCTTGAACCAGCAGAACACATTTTCCTAAAAATAATGTTACGGAATATGGTCAAATAAAAAAAAAATTGTAGTACAGCAGTCTACTCAAAGACCTGATGGTTGAGATATTAAAAAATAAACAAAAATGTGGATGGTTAAAAAAAAAATATCGAGTTGAACCCCAAAATCGCCATGTGTCTACCAAATTTAATTCCACTAGGTAGGCTTGGACGCCATTCCAGTTGTATGATTGAAATGTATTTAAAATGCTACAGTCCAAAAAAAACATTCAAAATTTGATTAAAATCAGCCATAATTATAAGATCTGACCACCTAATTTGAGCAAAATATCTGTGTGTGTGTGCGTTCTCTCTGCTGTATGCTTAACTAGAGCACAATAATGAAAGCTATCTCTAAATGTCTAATCACTAAAATATTCTATAATATCAGATATTTCTTTTTTCCATTATTAATCTTGACTGTACATAAATCTTTTTATGCTGAACTCTGCTTGTAAATTATGCATTGGTTGTCTTTTAGGTTGTGCTGTATTGCCCCTGTCTTGGCTGCAAAGGTTCTACCTGGCACTGAAGTCACTGTAGGCCAAGAACAAGAACAAGGTGGGAAGTGGCCTCATGCTAGCACTGTTGGAGCCATTAAAGCCATGGGAGGAAAACACTGCGTTAAAGATGTAACAATATCCTTTTCATGTTCAGTTTGACCTATCTCGAGGCAGAATTATAGAGTCAGGATCATAGGCTGGAAGGGACCTTGGAAGTCTATTAGTCCAACTCCCTGCCCAAGACACGAGTCCGTATACCATCCTGGACAAATAATCTTTTCTTGAAAACCTCTAGCAATAGAGTACTCACAACTCCGGGAGGCAAGCTGTTCCATTGATTAATTGTTCTCACTGTCAAGAAATTTCTTCTTAGTTCCAGGCTGGATTTCCCTCTGATGAGTTTCCACCCATTGCTTCTTACACTGCTCTCAGGTGCTATGGAAATTAAATCGACCCTCTCTTTCTCTGTGACAGCCCTTTGAGTATTGGAAACATTTTTGTCATTTTACCCCTAAGCCTTCTCTTTGTTAGGCTAAACATATCTAGGTCCCTTAGCTTTTCATCATACAATTTAGTCTCCAGACTCCTTATCATCTTTGCTGCTCTTCTCTGTACTGTTTTTAGGGCCTTAGCATTTTTTGGTATCATGGTGATGAGAACTGGATGCAGTATTCCAACTGCGGTCTCACTCCAAGTGCAATGTAGAGCAGTATTATCACTTCCGATGATTGAGGCAACCTAGAACTGCATTGGCTTTTTTGGCAGCTGCAGCACACTGCTGGCTCATACTTTTAAGTGGTCACCAGAATACCCAGATCCCTATCACTAGCACTACTGTGGAGCCATGCACTGCCTATTATGTGTGCATTTGATTCTTCCTGCCTAAGTGTAGGAACTTACTTTGGTCACCACTGAACTGCATCATAGGGCCCAATGCGCAAATCTGTCAAGATCCTTCTGAATCTTGAGTTTACCTTCTAAAGTGTTAGCAATTCCCCCCAGCTTAGCGTTATCTGATAATTTGATAAGCACCCTTCAGTCCTCTCATCTTGATCATTTATGAAGATGTTGAAAAGCACCAAGACAGAACCTTGAGGTACCACACTGTAGCTTCCCTCCATGTAGATGTAATTCATTTGACGATCACATCTGAGTATCTGTTCCAGGATTTTCCTGGATAGTGATGTCAAGCTGATTGGTCTGTAGTTTCTTGGATCCACTTTTTTTTCTCCTTTTTGAGGATTGGAACCATATCAGCTCTTTTTTGGTCTTCTGGTTGTTTCCCTGTGTTCCAGGAGCTCTAAAAGATTTCATTCAGTGGTTCTGAGTTCACATCTGCCAGCTCCTTCAATACCCTGCAATGTAAACCATTTGATCCCAGACATTTGAACTCTTCCAAAGTGGATATTCCTTGCCTATTATGACTTGTATTCCTGTTTGTCTCCCATGGTGCTGCTTTTGAAAGATTGGACTATTTTTTTCTTTTTGTGTGAAGACAGATGCAAAGAAGGAATTAAGCAATTCTTTTTCCCTGCTGCTCATCACCTTTTTGCAATCTTCTCCCATTAGTGGATTGATCATTTCCTTGATTTTCTTCCTGTTGCTTACATATTGAAAGAAACTTTGTTTATTGTTAGTTTGGCACTGATGCAAATCTTAGTTCATTCTGAGCCTTAGTTTTACTGACACTATCCTTGCAGATTTTAGGCTATTTGCTGGTATTCTGTTCTAGTTATATGTCACTCTTTCCATTTTTTATACTTGTCCTTTTTGACTCTGTTTGTCAGAGAGCTTTTTGTGCAACCATGCTGATTTCATCTGGAGTCTTTTGTTTTTCTTTCTTTATGATATTGTTTTTGTTTGGGCCTTTATTGTCTTGTTTTTCGGAGTTTCCCAAGCATTCTGAACTTTTTTTCCCCTCTACGATTTCTGTTCATGGAATCCTTCATATTCTGTCTATTAGCTTTGTTGAAGTCAACTCTCTCAAGGTCTAAAACACTAGTCTTTGTTCAGTTACCTGTGCCTGCATTATGGTGAATTCTAGAATGACATAGTCTCTCAACTTTCATTCCCTCAATCATTTCATCCCTGTTAGTAAGAATTAAGTCCAGTATAGTTGACCCTCTAGTTCCCTCTTCCACCTTTTGGATGACAAAGTTGTCAGCTAGGCGTATCCAGAAGCTGTTTGAGCTCCCACTCGCTGCAGAGTTTGCTTCCAATTGATGTTGGAGTAGTTAAAGTCCCTCAGTTCTACAGTGGTGTGTTTCCTGTTCCCTCAGCTAACTAGTTAGCATTTAATTGAGGAATCTCGCAATTCTGCTACAATTCCAATCTTGCATACATGTTTGGAAGAAAATCCATAGAAGTCATCAATTCACTGAAGTGTTTTCTAACTGTAATTACAGAAGTGAAGAACTTTATTGGATTGTCCAGTAAATTCCTTATAATGGTATGAGTTACATTGCTAAAACTTTTCCTGGCTTTCTAAATTGCCAGAACCAGGAAGCCATCATTCAGTATCAGAGGTTCTGCCATTATCGGTATTTAGCTAGCAATATGGTGGAAGGGGCATTTCTCCTTCCCTTACTGGCTGCCTTTTTAAGGGAGAAAGCTTAGATCACATCAAGGAGGAGTAATCTACCTTCTCCCATCGTTCAGCACAAAATGCCAGACTTTAGATTTTTTGCATCCAGTGTCTCTCTTTTGCTTAGGCCATACTATATATTGTTTTCTCCTTTTCTGTTCTCCTGATATTGAAGCTTCACTATTTGCAAAACAAGGATCCTGGACATTTTTACATAGGCAAGGCAGAGAAACAATGCTAGATTTTCCCTTTTGGGAGTAGAGCTCCCTCTCTAAACTTGAAGGAAAAAATGCTATTAATCTTGTAACCCCCTCCCTGACCTGTCCCCAAACTGCAAGGAGAATAAGAGTGCACCTAAATTAGAGATGTAATATATAATTGGAAAAAAAAAAACCAGTATGGAAAATTATTTAAATTTTCTCAAGGAATAATATTAGGAAAAAAGAATTTGTTTTTAAATCGATATAGCTTCTATTTATTATCTTTTTAAGAGATAGTAAAACATATTGTAAATTTCCTCTTTTTCTTCCCCTTCCCACTTGCTTCTATCACAGTGTTGTCCTTGTGTGAAGAATGCAGATAATCTAAATTGGAAAGACAGGGTAATTAGCTTTATTTGAACACAGTAATTTAGCTCTAATTTTTTGCAGTCTCCCTTCTTGTTCAATTTTATTGCCACAAAAGGAGCTGAAGACTTTTGGTTTCATTCTAGAGTAACATTCACTTGTGGTTATATCATACATTCCCCAATTTCCTCTTTTTTTCCTTCAGCCTAGCCACGAGGAGCATGAAAGTAGAAGTATGCAACTTGAATTTGGCTTATTTCAGTAAACTATAGTAAAGGTTATTGACCACTGTCTGAGTTCAGACATGACATTAACTTGCAAGTTATCTGAAAATGAAATCCAGTTTTCTTATCAAACAGAAGGTATAACCACTTAAGTCATTTAACGCTGAAACATTTTGTTTCTCTGAAATGTTTTGATTTTGGAAGGGTTCTCTAGTTTTTTTTATCTTTCCTCCTTGGTTATTTTGACAGTGTGGCAAAATGAACTTCCAAATAATAATATAGTCTGCTCGGTCCAAATTATGCCCTGAATTTGGGTGGGAAAATCCTAAATTCTAAAATATTCATTTAAAAAGTTGTATTTAACATAGTTAGATTTCAATCAACACATCCTTCACTGAGTACCCATTTCAGATGTAAAATAATCCAGAAAGTGTTGAGAATATTTTATTTTCTTATTACTGTTCTTGCAGAGGTTAATGGCATTAATTTAACCCTAGATAATGTCAGATGATGTGCTGGAGCCTAACTCTAATTTGCAGCCTAGCTACCAGGCTTTTTAACTGGATACTGGAGCAACAAAGAGTTGAGACCGTATTGTACTTTAAATAGTTGTAAAATGCATGGCTGGTTTTTTAATAAATGTTTAAAACTTAGATGTTTAGCTGTGATTACATTGAACCAAACAAATCCACCTCTCCAATATTGGTATTATATATAGGCTGCAAAAACCATACTATTACTAGACAGCAACTTTACTGCTGTCTACTAATTGTCTAGTTTTTTGCAACCCAAATGTGGAAAACCTGTACCTGAAGTCGAGCTTGATGTTTGGTGACCATATACAGATCTCATAAGAGATACTGTGAAAATAGTTTACCACTACTTTCTTTCAGAATATTTATTGTCTTCCCAATCCAGACTGCATCTCTGTTATTTCCATTCAAATGTTGACTACCTTCAACCCTGCTCAGTTTTGAACCAAGATAAATTTGGCCAAATGTTGTCATCTATAAGAAGATATTTTTGTCAATAGGGGAAAATTAAATTACAATGTTATTCAATCATGTTAATTTCCTTAACTGCCCTTCACGAAGCGCATGTGGACAATACCAACAAGATAGTTACTACACCAGCATTTATGTGTGAAACTGAATTGCATCACATTTTTGATGGTATTGGAGCCATGATAAAAAATTTGTTAAGGCTGACAGGCAAATGAAATGGATTGTTTAATAACAACAGCAATAGCTCTTAGGCATATTGCAGCTTTGATGACAAAGTTGGCACAGAATGTACTTTTAGACGTACTTTACAGGATTGACTTAAATTTCTGAGCTGGAGCATCCTACACTTATTGAATCAGGATACCTTTAAGTCAAACTCTTCTCCATATAGTGCATTGTCACTGACACTTGTTTTATATTCTGGACATCACCCATTGTTAAACAAATTGTAAGTAATGACTCCTTAAGTATTTAAAGTATTACCAGCTGGTACCAGAATGTTTCCAATGTTTATATCATGAATTTGCAAATATGATTCAGCATGTTAAAGTTGAAAGACTAAAGATTCAAATTGGATTTGAATCACTAGTATGACATAAACTCTCTAGAGAACCTAATCTGAGAATCAAGAACAGAATAAAATTTCACTTATTTTTCTAATTTGAATCTAATTATTAGACCTATGAATATCTGGTTGCTTAACATTCCATAAGCACTGGTATATTACAAATTCCCAAAGAATTAGACACCACATAGGTAGTCACTTGAAGAAATGAGGCTTTGGTTCAAAAGACAATCCTAATTATAGGGAATGTTTTACAAATAAATTGTAATTCCTCTTGCATAATCCATATAAATGTTATTTAGTATTCTGATTTACTAAGAGAATTGAGGCAAGCTACTGTGCAACAGTTCAGATCAATGAAGAGAAATTAACTTTCCTCTATTAGATATACCACATGTTAAATAAAATGAAGTTAAAATCAATTGTTTCCATTTTTATTAATAAGCAGAATATTTCTTTGGTCTATTTTTGTCTGCCTAATCCATGAGAATTCATGTGATACTTTTAGATAAATCCATTTTGTGTGTGTGTGTGTGTGTGCGCGCACGCGCGTGCATGCCTGCCTGCATGTGCAGGCTTTCAAATCAGTGTTGACTCCTGGTGACTAGGTAAGTCCAGACAATTTTTTTGGCAATATTCCAGAAGTGGTTTGCCATTGCCTTTTTTCTAGCGCTGAGACTGGCCAAAAGTCACCCAGCTGTCTTTGTGGCTAGGCAGGATTAGATCTCAGCAAAAAAGGAAGATTTTTGACATCTGATTATAAGGTTGATCCACTTGACCTATTTTGTCTCATTGTGATGGCTAAAACACATCATCATCCTTTGTCTTTTCCTAGCCCATTACAAAAGCAGCATTTCCCTCTTTTTCCTATTACATGTTTTATAACATGTGCTAACTCACTTGTTACACTTCATTTCATTGTGGGCAACACATCCAGTTAGTTACTATGCACTGTAGAGGAATGCCTGTTCAGTCACTGGTCTCCATGGCCAATTTTTAAACAAGTTTGGTGGAAGAGTGAAAGGTTTGGTGGAAGAGTAGATACTTCCAAAGCTGTATGAAATTTGCATAACTTTTTTGTTAAATGCATTCATTTTCCTACAAGATGGTACATCCTTTCTCAACCTTCTCAAAAAGAAGATTGATTGATTTTCTATTGTGGTTTATATTTTGCCACAATAATGGTTTCTCCTTTTTCCCTGAATTCCCCTTTCTTCCCCCTTAGTTTCTTTCTCATGATCACATTGTGATTATTTCACCGTGGGTAGGAAAGCATACCACTTCTGTAATTGTGTGAGTTTCCCTGACAGACATGGATGGGTTTTGCAAATTATTTTCAAGAGTAAGATGTTTGCGGCAATTCCATAAAGAGAGTCACACAGACACCAAGAACATTTTTGCCTAATTAAAACTCCTGCGAGTTTCAAACAATACAGAGCGATTTGGAATCCTTTGTTAAATAACATTTACATTTCAAAAAGCCTTATAATTTAATTTGCAGAGCAAACAAATTGATTACGTTCAGATAATTTAATATTAAAGTCAACTGTTGATTATTCTAAGTAATTGGATTTGGACATATTGGTTTGTGTACCTGGTACTATCTTTTTCACAATTACAATCTTATAAGAACACTTATAGTAACCACAGATATATTCTTTTATCTCAATACAATCTCAATAGCTTATTTTGAAGTCCTTACAGCCTTGACACTTGAGCCAATTTTCTTCTCAGAATTCCTAGTGCAAAATGCTAGGTAACTGTTAACTCCTCGAAGCGATGGTGAATGAGGAAGACACATTTCTACAGAACAACTCTTTATTGTACTTTAGCCAAAACTCCAACAATGAGCAAAGGCACACAGGCCTCCTTTTATACGTCCCAAATCCCAGACATAATGGCAACATTGTCAGGCACTTTTTGCACCGTGCGCACGTGCGCAAGGTTGACGCCACTCAGTCTGGTCCCAGGCAGCTTCTGCAAAGCCCGGGAACCCTTGTAACGTCCAGAGCCTGCATTTGCAGGCTTGGGACACAACACCCCTCCCCCCTAGCTTGGAACAATCCTGACACCTTCTTTTGGGAAGTGTCATACTTCCTCACAGTCAAGCATGGAAGGGGATGCCTGAGGTTGCCTCCTCCCACAAGTTCCATTCTTTTGTTTGTTAATCATGGACACCCAAAATCATAAGTAAACAAAATACATTATTAACTGATGACCTTAAGGGTAGTACTCCTTGTAACTTGACAGCAACTTCACAAAGTCTGAAAGATATTTGGGAGGGCACTTGGCCCTTTGCAACCTCCTCGGACCGGGAGAGTTTGCTTGTTTCCCTTTCTTGCCCACCAGGCTTGGTGAGCCAGGACATTGCTGCCCACTTGCCCCAGAAGACTTGGGTATGGTTGCCTGACCTACCTGCTCACCTGCCAGGCTCAGTAGGTCAGGGCTTTGCTGCCCCAAGTACCTGGTTGACCTGCCCATTTGCTGGCTGGCTGGGCCATCTGTGCCCGAACCAGCATCCCTTGGGGGGGGTGGTAGTCCCCAGATCCACAATGGACCTTTTGTGGGAGCACTGTCCCTCGAACCCAAGTCAACAGATGGAGAAATGGACGTCTGCAGGGCCCCAGTATCCAGTGGACCCCACGGTCATGCCTGAGGTGCCAGAATCAGGAATAGCCTCTCTGTTTTCCCCCCTGACAGAGGACTTCCTTCTGGGAGCAATTGTGGATTTTGGCCTGTTCCCATGCTGTGTTGCCAGTTCTCTTGCAGGATGTGAGTTGTGTGGATACCCCCGGTCAGTCTCCCTGTCTGGAGTATTACTAGTTATGGGTGAATAATGTGGATACCCCCAGTGTGACTCCCTGGCTGGAGTTAAGTATGGGTGTGTGGGATGACCCCCTACCCCATGACTTCCTATTCACTTGCAGAACCTTGAGATGGGGGATCAATGGCCTCCTCAGCGGCCAGTAATGGCTGCTGACATTGATCCTCAGAATGCACTCTATAGCCTTCCTTCCCCCCCCCCCCCAGAGCAGAGCCAGGAGCGGAAGGGTGAAGTTCCAGCCTCGCATGCAGCTGATCTATGTGCTGACAAAGAACGCGGCCGTCTTCCAACGACACTTTATAGGACAAAGGCCCAGAGACCTTGCAGACTACAGCTGGTACCCAGAGATGACCAGGCCTGTAGATCTGAGTCCAGACCGGAGCACCCACTTGCAGGCTCCTCGGTGCCCGTGGATGCAACACCTGAGACGCCACCCAGTCCGGATGCAGCCTGTCCAGCTTAGTAATAAGCCGGCGACCCCAGCGAAGTTCAGCAGGCCTCTTTCCGGTGGCTGTGCAACGTGTGGTGCGATGTGCAAGAAAGTCTGCTAACCTGTGATGCCAGTCACCATAAGTCAGTCTCTTGAGGGCATCCTTGGTGGTGCGCACCATACGCTCAGCCATTCCGTTGGTGGATGGGTGGAAGGGAGCTGAAGTTGCATGGCGGATCATGTTAGCCTGGAGGAAAACCTGGAACTCAGAAGAGGTAAATTGAGGACCGTTATCTGAAACCAGAACATCTGGAAGGCCATGAGCTGCAAAAATACTTCTCAGCACCTGGATAGTCTTGGCAGTAGTAGTGGAGGACACAGGAACAACCTCTAGCCACTTAAAATGGCTATCAACAACTACCAGGAAGAATTGCCCCTGAAAGGGCCCAGCGTAATCTATATGTACCCTAGACCATGGGGTTTGAGTTTCCTCCCACCTATGAACTGGGGCCTGAGGCATTTCAGGCCGGGACTGTTGGCACACATGACACCCATGAACCTGGGCCTCGATGGCTTTATCAAGGCAAGACCAACACAAATGGCTGCACGCAAGCACTTTCATCCTGACTATCCCAGGGTGTCCCTCATGTAGAGAGTGCAGGACTCTAGTCCTCAATGAGGTTGGGATTACTACTCTACTTCCCCATAACAGACAACCCTTGAAAGTGGACAACTCATGCCTCCTTTGCCAGAAACTTTGGAACTCAGTATCAGGGCACCTGTCAGGCTATCCTGACAACATCCATGTAAGCATGCGTGTAAGCGTGTGATCAGTAGCAGTTTCTGCAGCTACATCCCCAGCATTGAGGGAAGACTCAGGCAGCTCTTGAATGGATAGAATATTAATGGCTGGAGCAGGATCAGGCTCCAGTGTTGGTAGGGGTAATCTACTCAGAGCATCAGCATGACCCATTTCCTTTCCAGGTTTTTGAATTAAGTAGTCATATGCTGACAGGAAAATGGACCAATGCAGCATACGAGGAGAAAGAATATGTGGGGTCTGTTTGGTCATGGTAAACAACCCCAGCAGTGGCTTATGGTCAGTGTAGACCGTGAAATGGCAGCCGTATACGAAATCATGAAACTTCTTAATGCCAGCGACAATGGCCAGCGCTTCCCTGTCAATCTGAGCGTAATTTCGCTCAGCAGGAGACAGGGTTCTGGAATAATAAGCCACAGGGACCTGTGTCCCATCAGCCATCAGATGGCTAAGAACTGCTCCCACTCCATATGGAGAAGCATCGCAGGCAATGCAAACAGGTAGTTGCTCGTTGAAGTGAGCTAGTACAGCATTAGAAATAAGCAAGGCTTTAACCTTATTGAAACTTTTTTCATGGACCTTAGTCCACTGCTAACAGGCTTGTTTGTCTAAGAGCCTGTGCAAGGACTCAGCTATAGCAGCTTTATTTGGCAGAAATGCATGGTAAAAGTTTAATAGCCCCAAAAAGACTTGTAGTTCCCCTTTAGACTTAGGGCTTGGGGCCTGCTGAATGGGATTGAAAGATGAAATTTGTATATTAGTGGATGCAGATTGAAGAGTTACACATTTCCAGAATAGAACTGAATTCTTAGAATGAGTGGCAGAAATTAGTTGATTCCAAGACCGTATCGGAGCTTGCCTTTTCTTTGCCTGCAATAACTGCTTATATTTCCTTTTGAAGAGGAGCAGGTCCTGGGTTGAGTTAGGAGAAAGATTCCTTTTTTAATATTCCTTTAAAGCAGGAAATTAGTTGTTTCTTGGCTGTGTGGTTAACATTATCAAGCCAAGGTTGGTTAAAAAAATGCTGATTTCTGTTATCACTAGTTGGACTAGTAGAGAGAATTGGCTGAAGAAGCTAAACTAGATGAATATAAAATGGCGAAGTTTGATGGGGGACCTATCATCTAGAATAGGGGTCCCCAATCTGTGGACTACTGAGCCGTGTGAGTGGTGGGCAGGTGCGCCCATGTGCAGCCCATCACGCAAATGATGTGTGCTGGTGCTTGCACTCGCAGCATGCACCGCACTCACAGCCCTGTCATGCAAGTGGTGTGCACTAGTGCTCGCAAGCCCCTCGCGCAAATAGCATGTGCCAGTACTCGCAGCCCCCTCATGCAAGCTGCATGGCTGGCGGTCACAGTCCCCCTCGAACAAAATTATCCCTCTCCTCCCTCTCCCCCCGCATCAGGCTGCCAACCTGGAAAGGTTGGAGAACACTGATCTAGGACAGTTCTACGTAGTTGAAGTGCCTCATTAAGAGCATTTGGGTTACTTTGTCCTTCATCTGACTTGTCCATGTTTGTATTTGTTCTGGGAAATCTTCAGATGTAATATGGTGTATATCCAAATGGAGATCCCAAAATCAGTATGTTGGGACAGTATCACTCTTGGGATGATCCAATATGGAATTGGAGAATTGACAAACAGATTTCTTGATATGACAATGTAGTCAATCAGATAAAGCTTTGTGCCAACTCAATGAAAGAACTCTGCCAGATAATCTGTAACAGTGTAGACATTCATAATTTACAAATCCAACTTGTAAAATGTTTGCAGCGCTTGTAAGCCCCTGAAATCTCCAATATGGTCTTTAGACTTTCTAATTAGGAGCGGCATTTGATGACCATAAGAAAGCTATCAAAGTTTGAACCTTATGCTGCCAAGATTGAAATTGCCCTCTGTTGAGTCAGAACAGTAAAGGATTACAAACGTCACAAAACGCAGAGATCCAAAAACCTTACATGTCAAAAACCGTATTCAGGAGGTTGCCTTTATCTCCAACCCATTGCAGACGAGCTGAAGGTTGGCTTCAGTTGATTTTCAGCTGAATTTCATTAGAACTTTGTTACTTGCAGGGAACGTTCAGTTTTCAGTTTCATAAAGCACACTATGTCCAATATTTGAGGGAATTCGTCAAGGTTGGGCTGCAGTGTCATCTGATTTCTTCCCAAGGAACCTATGGCCCCTGGAAATTTACCACTTCCACGGGAGCTTCAAAAACAAAATAAAATACTCATACTACAGTATATAGGAAAAAAGAGAACTGCTTAAATCTGATATTCACTTAGTGGAGCATGTAACTTTTTCCGCCCCAAAAATGACACACCAGCATCAATCAACATATTAAATTGTCTTTCATCCATCCCATGATCTTAGTACAAAGTCTTCTGTGGAAAGAAGTTAAAGCAATTCACCCGCCTGAAGATTGCTGCAAAGGGAAGACTGTAATGTTTCTTTATTCAATTCCTATAGCCTCCCAACTCAACCAAGTGATTCTGGGTGGCTTACACTTTTAAAGGTTCCTAAATATCAACACAGAACGTTGGATGCTCTGGTTATGGAGTGAAAAGTCTTCACAATCATTGGCCTTTTCAGAAAGACAACTTTTCCAAAAACCACCACCAGCAACAACAACAACTAGAGATTGGCAGAGAATTGGGGATATATATGGTGAGCCATATTGAAGCTCCTGAAAAGTATGAAGTTTTTGCATATTTATTTTTTAATTGGATCAAAACATACTTCCACTTTTAAAGACCCCAGCTTGCTTTTCTATAGCTATCATGCTGACTACAATTGTCAGGACCCACCAGTTTAGCTAGCTTTTGTCTGATGCTTCTTGTGTCCAGTATGATATGATGTGGATAGTATTAAATACAAGAATATTAGAAGAGGGTGTTGAAATAGATTGTGTCTAATAGATGCGAGAAAGTGGATATAACCGTTTGACAATGGAGGCAGTAGAATTGCAGAAGAAAAGAAGGAAGAAAGAACTGCAAATGTGAAAAACCATAGCATTTGCCATAGCAAATCCAAAGTGGTGCTGTCATTTCACAGTGGGCAGGAAAAAAAAAGTTGAAGAACAGGGTCAAGGAGGGAAAGTGATCAGTTGAGCCAGCCTGGAAGTGGGGATGGGGGTTGCACTTTGGAATATGGAAATGATCTGACCACATGACGTTGTGAGTTATCAGCTGGGAATGGACATTGAAGCCATGAGCTTCAATGAGAGGAAGTGATTGGAATATGCTGGAGTGTTGATGTTACTCAGAAATAGAAGGAAATGAGGAAGAGCTGGTGGGTGATATAACCCACAAGGGAGAAGCAGGGAGTGGTAGGTGGATCTCCCACCAGAATAACAGAAGCAGGGGAGTTAACCACAGTCCCAGGGTAAACCTAGGGCAAGAACTTTGGGAAATCCAATACTGTAGCTGGGGGTGATTTGCTTCTTGTTGTCTTAATTGCTATAGAGGAAAAGACAATGGGGCAGTAAATTGATGTAGATTCCTATCGGTGAAACCCTCCTTATAGGTTGGATTGCTGGCAGCCACAGCTTCAGGCTGTTGCTGGCTAAAGGAAAGCTTATATAAACAAGAAACCCTCTATACATGACACAAAGGCAGTGAGACATCAGGGCTGAGAAGATATGAACAGTTGTGCCATTGCTATGGAGTCTATGGATATGCTGTGGACATAGAGTCCAGGGTGGTCTAGATTTTAGGGCCTCCCTAGCTGTCCCAGGTTATTTCAACCCCACTCGTGCTGACACTTAGCACTTCTTTAAGGCAAATGGTATATGGTTTTAAACTGGAGAACATTATTATGAATCCTTTGCTTGGTCAGATCACTTCCCGGTCAGTAGGTATTCATCCTGCAATCACTCTTGTGTCCTTCCTACCAACCACACAGGAAATACACCTGGACTAGTTCAGATGAATCTAGCATTTTACTTTTTATTTCCTGTTGTAACAATTTTTTTAAAAAGTTCTCTTTGTATCCAATCTGCACAGAACGTTGAGATGAAACTGGGACTGAGGTAAACTTTCCATTGATGAGTTAGATTCTGAAATTGCTCCCTACATTGAACATTTAAGATCTGAAGTAAAGCATACGTTACGTATGATCTTTTTAGCTCTCTGATCAGTGGTATCCATAGACCTTGTTTTCAGTAGTCTGAATAAAGTAGTATTGTGACGGCATGTTGCAAATTTTGCCCCTTCAACAAACTGTGTGTGATGTCAAGACACATGTTGAAAAGGAACAGGGCCTGTAAACTCATTGCCAAGTAATTACTTTTATCAGTCTTGCCTCCTCCCTTCCTATGGGGTACTGCTTCTGACTTAAATCATTTCCTAAATTTCAGTCTGCTATCTGCATGGACATTTAAACAGGCAACCATCTTCACTTTTGCAAATCCTCTCATGCAAATTGAAAAACAAATGGAAAGCTGCATAATTGGCTATGACTACTGACCCTAAACATAATTTTGTAAAAATGTAAGTATGCGTACTTACCAGTATAAGTTGTTTGAAGAGAACGTTTATATATTTTCCAGCTTATGCATGCAATAAAAATTATAATTATGAAAACAGCAACAGGAATGCTGAAGGCTGCAGCTCTTTCATGATGTTCGTTATAAATTATAGGGCTGTTTGTTGACTTCTTTAAATCAACTGAATAAGAACAATAAGGAAGATAGGAAGAAAAAAAAAACCTTTGAACATTACTGGTTTACACTAGACAACTTTTAAAAGTAGCAACATTAAATTAAGTATCATTCAAGCATTTTCTATCCATATCTAAACTAGTAAATCATATACCCCAGCAGAATTCTTGCTTCCCCAACATGGGATCAGATCAGAAACTGTTTTGGAAAATTCCAAATAGCAAATTTTAAAATAATTCACCAAATAACAGGCTAATAAATCCCGAGTCTTCAACATTGCTAACAGTATTTCCTTTGATGCCTGCTGAGCATATCATTATGAAATAATGAACTTTATTTTTTTTTAAAGGGGCATTACCCCATTGCAAAGGAAAGCACCAGTCCTCTAAGTCTCACATAACCTCAGGGACGTTTTTTAACATAAAAGTGATGGTAGCTACAGCTTTGTGTGTCCATCTGCCTATCATCTTTAGCATTCAGAGGAAAAGGCGAGGAGTAACTTCACCAATTTACCTTCTAGTACCTTTTTTGTGTGTGTGTGACTGGCCATGCAGTTCATGGCAGTTATTTTCTGAAAGTACTCATGACAGGTTCTTAAATCCCAATTTTTTTCTTAGCCCAGTAAATTTGGGAATCCCACCCTACATCTTGTAAAGCACCTCTTCAAAGCCAGTATATAAATACCTGAACCATATGATGCAAGTACACTGTTATTAAGAAGATAGCAATTATTAAGAACCTCACCTGCCTACTTATTCTATTTTGCTTAAAGCTGATGATGGCACTTAATAACTGATTGTTCCTTTCCCACATCATCTGTTATCTCTCCAATCCTAAACTTTTACTGAAATTTCTATGTCAGAGCATTGGAAAATAGATGGGGGTGTTACTGCTGCTGTTGCTGGTTGGGCAGATTATATCCAGAAACCAACTTTTCCCAAGTAAAAGAGAAAGAAAAGAGAAACTGAAGTGCTTGAAATACTGAAAAATCAGATGGCAGTAGAAAAAGTGATAAAGATATGATGGAAAAGGGGGGATAAAAGAATCCGGATGCTTCCAGATGGAGAAGTCCTGGTTCTACCATTTGAAAGAATCAAATCTTGTTGAGAAAACATAATAGAGAGAGAGGACAGTATCCTTGGGATGCTTCATGCAATTCCGTGTATCAGGTGAGGTACATGGATTACTTGAAAAAAATCTCAACCTGGAAATCCCCTATATTGCAAGAGGATTACAAGGACAAGGCAGGCAGTATCCTACCTTTAGGAAGGAAACAAGCAAGGAAGCTTTGGAGACTTGTGTTGGGGAGAGAAATGGAAGTATAGAATTGACAGCTCCTATATAACTTAGATAATGCAAGGAGGAGGAGAATTGTTATTCATCCCAGCACAGCTGCCAAAGTATTCTGGCGAGTTTCATCTTCTGAATTAACTAAACCACCCAATTATGGAATATTAATTGAATTTTTATTCAATTTTTACTCTTTCCAACCCAACCAAATATTGAGAAGAATTTATGTCAGAGGGTATGGGATTCTTGTCTTTCAGCAGGATAACTTTCCACAAGCTGAACAGAATAGAATAAAAATTGGTATCAGGAGGAAAAGCTGGTAAAAGGAACAATTATGTTAAAAATAGGCTGGATCAGGCCAGATTATGGAGAATGTTCCAGAAAAATGCATCCCTAAGAGACAACTGGACAGCAATTTGGAATGTAGCCTTTCCCCTACTCTGAGCTCTCTTCCATCTTCCAAGTCTCATAGCCTGGATCAGAGCCTTTCTTAAGTGTTTGGAAAGAGCTTCAGAAGCCAGATTTGGCATGTTTTCCTGTTTTGCTTAATATACACAGAAGTATATTGACACATCAATTCTTCCTTACAAATACCAATGGATAGTAAGTAAGACATAAACTGTGAGGAACAACTTACTTGTAGTAGTAATATTTTGATGCAGTTGCTTATGCTCAATTATACATCCTAACTTTATATCAGAAGCCACTTTCATCTTCAATGTACTAAATACACTGAAAGACCCATCAAGCTCTTTGGTGAATTGCACCGTTACGTTCATGGTGCTGTTGTCCATTTCATTTACCCAATAAAGCCTTTGTTCTGGATAGCCATGGCTTGAATTGCACGTAAACATAATTTCTTCTCCGAGCTGCACAGGACCTGTTATTACTGGTTTGCTGTAACTGGCTGAAAAAAGAGAATTTTAATTTTATAGCCATGCTTCCCCACAACTTCATCTGCCACTTTTGAAAAAGGTATAACACTGGAGAGAAATTGTTTTAGAATTGGATGATATAACAATTTATATCCTCCTTCATCAGATTATACTACCAAAATGTTGGTGGGAATGAGGTGTTCTCTGGAACCTTACAGGAAAGTCTTCCAGATTAACCCTTTTAATTCTCTGTGGTCATATGTACCAAATAGCACACAATTGGGTTTGACATCTCACATCCATTTCCAAGGCATAATCCATAATGGCACATCTAGCATAAATATACAATATGGAGTACAAAATTAAAAGACACATCCCCATACTTTCACTGCCTACTCTGTCCTTTTTTCCCCTCAGTGAGTTTGGAGGAAAAAGAATTAAGTATGTGAGACCCAAGAATTTTATAAAATGGATATTTGAGATTGCCTTTCCAGCATCATTGTTGTTCATGTTATCCTCAAACCGTCCAATTGCAGACAACTTTAAATTATTCAGCAAGGGATATACTCATGAAAAAAACTTTTGCTAAGACTGAATAATCTGCTATACATATTCATAGCTGCAGGATACCTTCTATAAGCACATGCATTAAGGACAAGTGTTTGCAATCCACGCAGTCACCAAGAGGAAGAAAAATGATGTGGTGAGGAAGTGAATTGTCTTCATGTCTGCCGAGCATTCCATCCAGTCTCAATTAGCATTTAAGACTTTTGAACATTTTTCCTTCACATTATTCACAAATACGAAAGTTTTGCAAAACAGCTGTAGGAGTTGAAAAGGAGACAGGCACTTCCCCTGCACACAATGGCGCTCTTTTTCATACTAAAGCACTGTTTAATGTTATAGTGCTATTAAAATAAATAATTTATGCTTATATAGTGGCCTTTGCTTAATAAACTATTATATATTTACATGTTCATCAGTTGTTTCAGTACACATTTTATCTCCATTCTTTAGTCATACAGGAATTAACTTAATTATCTTTATTTTATTAATGTATTAATACATTTATTAATTAATTGAAATTTAATTAATGTATTCATTTATTTAGGCAGTTTTGTACCTTCATTTTCTGCTTGCTCATAGTCTTTTCAACACCAGAGTTGATGAAGGAAAGACAGAAAAATAACTCTTCAATGCGCTTATACAAAAAACAGCATCTTATTCACTCTTTTTCAACTCTAAACAAGAACTCTGTTCATTAGTAAGATCATCTCTTCCTCCTTCAGTAATGCTCCTTATATACGAAGGCAATTCGAAAATAAACTTCCGTTTGATTATCAGTGACAGATACTTGCAGACGCAGAATTTTTATTATACACATTAGAAAACGACAACATTACATTACTATTTGACATAATCACCATTCAAATTGAGGCACTTGTCATAACGTTTTACAAGGTTTGAAATTCCTTAGTAGTAGACACTAAAACTGGCTATGGGGGGGGGGTGATCAAAAACATCCCAACAGAACTGCTTCAAAAGTTCTTGGGTGTGTCTAGCAGTTTGCGGGCAAGCATTATTTTTTTATTTTTTTTTAATAATTTTTTATTTTTCCAAACTCTCCCCCATACATATACCGTAATACTTATCAGATATTAACATACATTCCCTCCACACTCACATACAGATACTTTTAACCAAATGAAATACATACACATAACTTTGGTGTTGCTCGCCCATTTCCCTTTCACCGTATCCACACTCCTTCTTCTTTACCTTCTTTCTCCCTTTCTTCTCTTCCCTACTTCCCTCTTCTTCCTCTCCTCTCCTTCACCATTCTCCTACCCTTTCCTCTTCCTCTAACCTTCCTACTTCCTTCTCCCCTCCTTTACTCTTTTCTCTCTCCTCTCCTTTCTTCATCCCTCTTCAGATACAATTCAGGGGTAATGTCCGAGCAACTCCTCTCTCCAAATTTCCCTATCTGTATTATATACAATAAGATTAATACTTCTATTTATCTAACCTTCTCGGTATATACTTCTATAAACATTTATACAGCCTGCAGTTATTCAATACTGTGTCGCCTGGGTCTCCCTCCTTATCTGCTCCTTCTTCTTCCATCTAAATTGATGTTAACTATCTTTTAACTGTATTCTCTTTTCAGCCAATCATAAAAAGTTCCCCAAATTTCATAGTAGTCTGACTCTGTCTTATCTTTAATTGTCATTGTTAGTCTATTCATTTCTGCGCATTCCAATATTTTCCCAATCACCTCTCCCTCTGGGGGGGGCTTTCAGTGCTTTCCAACTTTGTGCAAACACAATCCTGGCTGTGGGCAAGCATTATTGTGAACCAACACTACACCAGAAGTAGTGGCATCCATAATAAGTGTCGAGGCATGCTGACTTCCAGTGTGGTGTTGGTTCATAATGCTCACCCACACACTGCTAGACACATGAGAAATTTCCCACTGTTTACCCAATTCTTTTTATGGACTGGCAAGCTGAGAAAAAATTATCTTTGAGGATAAATTTCAACCCAATCTTTATCATAATAACTTCTCTGGCCATCAAACAACAATTCATAAGTATTTGCTCAGAAGAAAAAGCCCTTACCTGCCACTTTGAGCGATATGGATTCATTATGAATGAGTTTAAACTGTCCATTTATATTTTTCTGTATTATGCAATGATAGATAAATTCATCTGCTATCCTGATGTTTAACAGCTGCAAAGAAGCACTGCCTTGTTTTGGCTCATTTAACAGAGTCCGTCGTTTGAATTCTTCACACTGGTACTTTTCCATATTTTCATTAGGAAAATAGCCAGCTACAAAGCATGAAAACCTGTCTTTTATTTGCCATGATATTCGATTCCTATTGTAGTTTAATGATTCTTCTTCTGGATAACAGCATTGCAATTCAACACTGCTTCCTATTATGCCAATCACTTCTGTTTCAGCTATAAAAAGAAGATTCAAAAAAATGCATTGCATCATATAATCTACTTTCCATTTTCCCAAAATTAAAATTGAAGTCACTTTATGACTGATTCTCTTCACTCCTGAAATTTCTATTTATTCTTCAGAAGTACACAGGTCTGCCCTTGAAGAACATTTAGAAGCTTCAACTCTATTCAATACATGTAAGATCACTGCTATATGAACTGCACTGACTGCTGGTGTTCTTCATGCTTGGGATTGGGTTACCTAGGGCAGGTGTGCCCAAGCCCCAGACCGCAGCCCACTACCAGGCAGTGGCCTATTCAGAACCGGGCCCACGAGAGACAGGCCTGCATACATGCACACATGCAGCTCAACTTGTGCAAGTGGCGGGGCAGAGCACAGGCACATGCATGTGCAGCTGAACTTGCAGTTGATCTGTGTGCATGCGTGTGCATGCCAGCCCACCACTCACGTGAGTTGAGCTACATGTGCATGTGCACCAGCCTGCAGCTTGTGCAGCCTAGTTCCCTCTCCCCCCCCAGCTGGACTGCCAAGCCACAAAGATTGGGGACCACTGACCTAGGGGACCTTCTCTCAGTTGTTTCTACTCATAAAATTTGGTTTGGCAGGTTGGGCATGTTAAGGATCCAATGAGCCAAGCAATATTGGCTGGTGGGGATAAAAGAAGTGCCTTCTCCTGCCCTTTTCTCCTGCTCCTGCCCTTCCGAGATTGGAATGATGTCTACCTTATTGGCCTTTCATAAGCCGTCATGATCCAGCTGCATGCCCAGGGTCCTGAGTATGAGGTCCCAAGTGTGTTAAGGGCCCCCTTACTTGGCTATATTAACAACTGTAGCAACAGTTTTACTTGATGACCATATATATTTATTTTGTACTGTTTTCATTTTTTTATATTTTTATGATGTCCATCATCTAGGGTCATTTGTTGAGATGGGCGGCTATAGAAATTAAATAAATAATAAAACAAATTAAAATAAAGGTCACTGGGCTCCTGTATTTAAATTTGTACTGAAACTTTATTAGTTCTGCATATTTATATAGAGAGCTGTTATGCTCTCTATATAAAGAATGGATAAGGAATGGATGTGACAATGCATTTGTGTGCATTCTGTTCAGTGGTTACAGTTCATGCTGAAAAACCCATTATTTAACTGATTTACTTACATGGCCATCTGTCTTGCAGCAGTGAATTTGGGCAGTTAATAGTTTAAAATATCAGCACAAAACATACACATAATGAAAACAATACAAGCACATTTGGGCAAATGAAGAAAACATAATGGCAAATTTAAAGGAAGAGTGGACGACTGAATTCTTAACAAGAAGCCTCCCTGAAGGCCTCTAGCCTCTTTATTATAACTGTTCTATCAACAAACTTTCAACTGATGTCATTTCAGTTGAATCTAATGGAAATACAATTCCATCCAATATCTGGTCAATCCTTGGCTTAGTTCTATCATTACCACAGCAATTAAGCTGAGCAGGTATCCTTTTTTTTCAGTAGGGATTTCAGTCTGTTGATTACCTGCTTAATATGTGTATTGGGGTTCAGATTATTTAAATAAAAAACCCTGAGAATATCAGTATTTTATTGAAAAATATTTAACAGTAAGGGAAAGTTAATTTAATAGTCAACTGCCTTTAGAATAATGCAGGCAACCAGATTAAAAACTCCTTGCCTTTGTATAATTTGCTCTGAAGTCAAAATAGCTGTATCATTTCCATTAACACAGTGTTTAAAAACTTGCTTTATAGTTGAATAAACCTAACATTATAATAACTTACCAGATCTCCAAACCCAAAGAAACAAGACCAAGAGTCCAAAGCTAAAATAAAAAACCATAAATTTCAAATTAAAAATTAGAATGTGTAATTTTAAAAATTCCACAATGTATTGAGGAAAATGTATGATAAGGTTTAGCATAAGCCATATAATAAATAGTAGGACTAAGATGTGAACCAATTGAGTTCATTATTTTCACTATTTTATCTTTTCTCTATTAATCATAAATGTATGCTGCCATAATAAAACATGATCTTGGCAGCTTCTATTACTATATACATACATATCTAAACAGCCCATTCAAAAATAAACACAGAATTCAGTAAGAAGAAAAACTGTAATATCAAACCAGAAAAAGGTTGATACAGCATTTGTGCTTCATACATTATCACAAACTGCCTTTGTGTGAGAAAAGAAAAACATAAGTTAATATATACAGTATTGAATATGACATTCTTCTGAGACCACTTTCCTATTTTTATTTTAATATTTTGCCATTTCCCTATAGAAGTATACTTGGAGGATCACTTTTGTCAAATTTTAATTCAAATCCCAGGATTAAACATTGCTTGGACTCAGTGGATTAAATGAATGTAACAGCTACACCATGTGGGCTGTGTGGCTAACCACATGTCATATCAAATCAAAACACCTCATACCAAATCAAAGCACATACATAAACAAAAACGAAACGATTTGGATACATCATCGTTTCATCTCACAAGAAAAAAAAAGACAACACCTTTCAAAGTTGAGTATTAAAATACCAACGTTTCAACTTTAGGAATGGTTATTTAGAACGCATTTTTTCTTCATTATTAGCAATCATTTCTAGTCTGATCTATCCATATGTTCAGAATTAGGTCCTATAAAGGCTTATTCTGGCAACTAAGAGTAACTAATCCACCGTTCACATTTCGCATACAAATCCTCTTCTTGGAGTTGCCGCTTCACTACTGACCGTTTGTGATGCCTCTGAATTTACTTCGAGTTCTCAGCAGAGATACAACAAATATACAACATGCTATCAGGAGCAGGTAAAAATGCACTTGGATTCCTGCACATTCGGCCGATCGGCAGTTCTTTGGTTTACTAGCCTTCTAAGCCCAGCAAATACTCTACTTGTTTATTTTACTTAGCACATTTTAAAACCGACTTTGATACTTGACCGCCCCGCCGCTACTGACTGCGTGAGACACACCCTCCGCTACTCACCGCTCGCGGGGGGCCACCATGACCGGGCCGCGTCTGCAAAAGCTGGGCGAAGAGAAGGGGGGGGCTCCTCAGCCACTAGCCAGCGACTCCCACGCAGCCTCCCCAGCACTGGAGGAGCGCAGACCCCAAACAGCTGCCCTCATTCTCGCCCCTTTCCTTCAGTCTCGACACTTCTGGAAAAACCAAACTACCCGGAAGCGGCAGTTTCCTTTTGCCTGTAGCGGGAAGGGGCCTCGAATCAGTTAAAGAAAGACTTCCCAATTCACGGCGAATGGCTATATAGTCTTCAGTCGAGTTAGCATTCTCTTCCCTCTTTCCGATGACTTGGTGCAAACTGAAAACTAAACTAAAACACTTGGTGTTATAAATTGGAAGTTCTGCGGGGGTGGAATAAATGTTACTGTATTTTATACTGTATACTATATTTTTATCTTTTAACTGGATTAAGTGGACCGAGACTCAGGAGATATGACTATCTTGATAATTTTTCTCAAGAAGCCTCAAGCTGGCATTTTTTTCTCTCTTCCCCAATTTCCAGAAAACTGAGAACAAAATAATTAGCATTGTTTACCAGCAATACTTCAAAGACATTGTTTGCATAGTTTATGGGAACACATCTCCCCTTTCCCCGAATTGATATCTTGCTTAATTTAGATTACAAGAAAGATTCATTACATTTTAACTGCATACCAGATTGTGATTTGTTAATTTTAATAATATTCATAGATAGTATAGCATCTCTGTAAAATTGCACATATATCTAATAATTTTTCACTTAATGTTAGATAAGCTGAGAGGATGGAAATGTATGTGCTGTTTATGTGATAAAGTACTGCTTTGTGACCAAGATACTTGGTCTGTAAGATACTAATAGAAATCAAAGTCTTCCTAAATAAAAAAATTACCTTGAATCCGCCTTTAGTTTTGTTAAATTTCCTTCTTCAGATTAACAAATCATAGGAATACAAAAGTCTTATTTTCTAAATAATCTAGAATAGTGATTAGAAAAGATTTCATTAGAAACATGATATGTGTACAGATGGGCCCACGTGCCCTCTGCTCATGCAAATGGAGCTACATATGTGACCAGAACCATCCCCTCCCCCTGCCCCCCCCCCCCGCAGATCTGCAAAGCAGAAAAGCTTGGGGAATGCTGCCATAGGAGATCCATACACAATATTTTATTGTGGCAAATACAGTACCTTCCTCAATAACAGGCCAATGCTGTGGGTTACCTCTACACTCCTAGGCCTTGCAAGTTGATGTAGCCACATAATAAAGACATCTTTAAATACTCAGTCTTAAAACAATGAAACATTACCAACATTGTTCTCTTCACATGGAGTGCTTTTTTTGTAAAAAAAAAAAAAAAAAAAAAAGTGCCGAACTCACACAGGTCATACAACCCGCCTTACCTACCCTACAAGGTTCCATCCAAAAAAGGTGCCAGAACTTTGTTCTGGGCGTTCTATGACAAAAAAAGCCCTGTTCACATGTATTGCATTATAGTTCTCATAGTATCAGCTGGTGACAGGTGTATCAGCTGGTGACAGGTGTACTCAACTGAAGGGTGGCATATTGGTACCCTTCATTTCTAAGATATCTACATTTTCTCAACTAAGATCATTAATGCATATTTATTGTTCAGGAGCATTTAGTTATACCCATTCTTAACTGTCCAAATAGGCATAGAGTACAAATCATAAAGAAGAAATGTGCTACAAATAATAGAATATTTAATTTCAATTTTTGACTAAAAACAATGGTTCAAATCAAATTCCTTCAGTTGTAACAAGATTAATTATTGTTTAAAGCAGGGGTCCTGTGGGCTGTGGCCTGGTAATGGGCTATGGGCTGCTGGTCACCGGGCATAGGACAGGCTGGCCAGTGTGTGCACATGTGCGTACACACACACCCCACTTGCTCTAGCGCCGTGGGGCACAAAAATAGGATGCCACGCTGTGTGGTGCAAAAATGGGCTGCTACCGGGCCAGGGCAAAAACGGGACTGCAGGGCACAAAAATGGGCCGATGCTGTGCCTCGGGGTGCAAAAATGGGATGCCGCCACACCTTGGGGCATGAAAACAGGCTGACACTATGCGTAGGGGTGCAAAAACAGGCCGCCGCTGCGCCTCGGGGCACAAAAACCGGCACCACCACACCGCGGGGCGCAGAAACAGCACTGTGCCGTACAAGTATCACGCAAGTGGTAACCCCACCCTATTTGCATCACGCGCATGTTCGCAGCGTAAAATGCTTTCCCTTCCCTTTCCCTCCGATCCGCCCACCGAGAAAGGTTGGTGACCTCTGGTTTAAAGTGTTGAAGTTTGATAAGTTTGTTACAGATCTGGTTACTATTCTAATACTGTTCTGAGCAGCAGGAAATCTTTTCTACATGTTGTGTTCCTAAAATGACAGTGAGAGTTCTGTAGGGGTTTGTTTGTATTTTTTCTTCCCAAGAAATTATATTACAGTGTAGCATAAAAATCTATCAGTTTTGAACTATGTGAACTTGTAAAATGAACTTGTAAAATGAATAGCCAGTTAACTAGTTTGTTTTTCTTCATATTTCTCTAAATGTATGCCTAGGAACTGAAAAAAGTTTGGACTTTACGGCATTCTGTAACATTTCAAAATTTGATCTAGTTCTTTTTTTTAGTGACCCAGCATGCTGAACATTTCAGATCTAATACGTTGATTATAAATAAATGGCTATGAGTGTGGAATCATGAAAGTGATGTCTGAAATCATAATTTTAAATAAAGTTTTGAAAGTAATCCAGATAGAAGACATTGCTGTGTTTCTGTAGTTGTGGACTGCCACCTAACCTGAATGAAAATATGAAGAAAATGAATGTACCAGAATATGGGCACAAGTTTTCAAGAGCACAGTGACATGGTATTAATTTTGTCTTTCCTTCAAGGAAGTTGAAATCATGGTGACTTGAATGGTTGATTTAGCTGTCTCTCAAGTGGTCTATCTAACTGAGATGTCACCAACCTTTCTTGGTTGGCAGACAGGAGGGAAAGGGAGGGGGCAGCATTTTATGTGCATGCATGCAAACGCGTGTGAATGGAGCTGTGACGCAAACGGAGTGGTGCTAGCACCCATGTGATATTCGCTAGCCCTGCCCCATTCTTGCGTGGCACAGTGCCGTTTTCACCCCCCAAGATGCGGTGTTCCGTTTTTGAGTCCCGTGGGGAGGTGGCATCCCATTTTCACACCCCAAGGTATGGCATCCCATTTTCTTACCCTGCAGTGTCCCATTTTCACATTCCACTGTGCGGTGCTATAGGCACAGCCTGGTAGTGGGCCATGGCCCCCAGGTTGGGGACCCCTGATCTAACTGATACCTATGATATTTGATATTGATATTTCTGAAAGGAAATTTAGTGCTCTTTTGAAATAAAATGAAACCCCTGTGAAAAGAGTAGTACAACTGACACACTACTTTTGCACATGTACTCTTAAAAACCACAATTCCCATCTTCAGAAATAGACTAATAGGCAGATCCTAGATGTGAGGAAGGTCTAATGAGCATTAGGGACACAGTACTTTCTCCTCTTCTCTCACACATCATCCTACAATTCCTCTTCATCTGTGATGTGTGGCTTCAACTAAATGGTGTGGAGAAATGGGCTGAATAGAGCTAAAAGGAATGATTTGTAACAAACAAACTCCTCAACCAAGTGCTGCAAATGGTAATACAGGTACTGAATAGTGGTGACTCACACCATATACATGTTGAATGTGGCATAGACAAAATGGACCCCCTTCATCCTAGTTGAAACTGGTTGTGTAATGCCACTTATTCAGAAGCAATGGAAAATCTATAAGATACTCATAGATGATAGGGGCAACAATACAAGATCTGGTTGTCTTTTGCAGTTTAAACCCAACTTGTGTAGCAAATGATTGGGGTTTTCTGAATTTTCTAATGCAGGTCTAGCATACTTTCAAAAGAGTGCTAAGCCTGTGTTTATAAGGAGCTTGGATAAGACCTGGTAAAAACTATGGAAAGTACAAATTAGCCATTATGTATAGGCAGATGCTTCTGCAAAAGCCAGTTGTTTAGTTTTTTTCTGCAGCAAGATACAAAATTCATAATGTGCAGTGCCCAGCAACCAATGGAAGATAAATACCTACACTATTCTAAACAATCGACCCATCATGAACCATATTGATTAAAATGCCTTAGATCAGTGGTGGCGAACCTATGGCACAGTTGCCAGAGGCAGCACTTGGAGCCCTCTCTGTGGGCACACGTGCCATTGCCCCAGCCTTGCCTCTCCCCGCGACCCCCTCCTCTCCAGCAGCCCCCCTGAAGGAGAGTCACCCTTGAGCGTGGCCCACACAGAGCAGGGCAGCCAAGGACATGACAGCCAGGCAGCGTAGACAAGACTCTGCCCACACCACAGAGGGTGTGGCTGCCATAGCACTGCTGGGCTGCCTGGGCAATCTGCGGTGGGCCCTGGAGGCGGTGAGTGGTCCTGTGGGCAGGTGGGGCGGGGGATTGGAGGGCAAAGTGGGGGCAGAGGAGGGAGGTGGAGCAAGGGCGGGCCAGTTTTTGGGCACTCGGTCTCTAAAAGGTTCGCCATCACTGCCTTAGATCATATACCAAAATTTCTGTGAGGAAAAGAAGAAAAACATTTCTTTTAAACTAACATAGTTAAAGACAAATTTAAGATGTAGACTAGGGTTGAGTTGAAAGAAGCGTCACAAAGAAATGTATATAAAAAGATTACTGGGTATATTCATACTATAGTTAGAAGGACATTCAGTAAGCATGAGTCCTCAGTCAAGAGAATTTAGAATAATATGACAAGATTTCACAAGCTTTATAGATAGTTATTTTCTATGGGAATCTACATAAAGAATTAAATTATTTTAAGACCAGAAAACATTTTATTACAAATAGTTATTTAGAAAAACCATCAAAATAAAGTATATATAAATGTAAGTATTATCTTTTCATTGTTTATCATTGGTCATTTCCCTTTTTATTCTCCTTATGAGACATTTGGAATCATGAATTATGATATTTCTATATGTTTATCAGGGCATCGTGTTTATATCTTTTGCATTTTAAAATTTAAACCTGCATTTACTAACTTAAATATATTCAGCATGAAATTATGCACTGTAACTTCCCCCAAAAGGAATATATAGTTTGTAAATATGTGGAATGAAAAACCGTTTAAACTGAAATTTAAAATTAAAAAGCAAGCAATAAGATTGCCTA